TTTGCTTTTATTTCCAATATTCTGGGAGGTGGGTCATAGAGGATCCTGCTGTGATTTATGTCGGAGAGTGTTTTGCCTATGTTCTCCTCTAGGAGTTTTATAGTTTCTGGTCTTACATTTAGATCTTTAATCCATTTAGAGTTTATTTTGTGTATGGTGTTAGAAAGTGTTCTAGTTTCACTCTTTTACAAGTGGTTGACCAGTTTTCCCAGCACCACTTGTTAAAGAGGTTGTCTTTTTTCCATTGTATATCCTTGCCTCCTTTGTCGAAGATAAGGTGTCCATAGGTTCGTGGATTTATCTCTGGGCTTTCTATTCTGTTCCATTGATCTATATTTCTGTCTTTGTGCCAGTACCATACTGTCTTGATGACTGTGGCTTTGTAGTAGAACCTGAAGTCAGGCAGGTCGATTCCTCCAGTTCCATTCTTCTTTCTCAAGATTACTTTGGCTATTCGAGGTTTTTTGTATTTCCATACAAATTGTGAAATTATTTGTTCTAGTTCTGTGAAAAATACCGTTGGTAGCTTGATAGGGATTGCATTGAATCTATAGATTGCTTTGGGTAGAATAGCCATTTTGATAATATTGATTCTTCCAATCCACGAACACGGTATGTTTCTCCGTCTGTTTGTGTCCTCTTTGATTTCTTTCATCAGTGTTTTATAGTTTTCTATGTATAGGTCTTTTGTTTCTTTAGGTAGATATACTCCTAAGTATTTTATTCTTTTTGTTGCAATGGTGAATGGTATTGTTTCCTTAATTTCTCTTTCTGTTTTTTCATTGTTAGTGTATAGGAATGCAAGGGATGTCTGTGTGTTAATTTCATATCCTGCCACTTTACTATATTCATTGATTAGCTCTAGTAATTTTCTGGTAGAGTCAATAAAGGGCCTCTTGATGAAAGTGAAAGAGGAGAGTGAAAAAGTTGGCTTAAAACTAAGATCATGGCATCCAGTCCCATCACTTCACGGCAAATAGATGGGATAACAATGGAAACAGTGAGAGACTTTATTTTGGGGGCTCCAAAATCACTGCAGATGGTGACTGCAGCCATGAAATTAAGAGATGCTTACTCCTTGGAAGGAAAGTTATGACCAACCTAGACAGCATATTAAAAAAGCAGAGACATTACTTTGCCAATGAAGGTCTGTCTAGTCAAGGCTATGGTTTTTCCAGTAGTCATGTATGGATGTGAGAGTTGGACTATAAAGAAAACTGAGCGCTGAAGAATTGGTCCTTTTGAACTGTGGTGTTGGATAAGACTCTTGAGAGTCCCTGGACTGCAAGGAGATCCAACTAGTCCATCCTAAAGGAAATCAGTCCTTGATATTCTTTGGAAGGACTGATGCTGAAGCTAAAACTCCAGTACTTAGGCCACCTGATGCACAGAACCGACTCATTTGAAAAGACCCTGATGCTGGGAAAGATTGAAGGCAGGAGGAGAAGGGGACGACAGAGGGTGAGATGGCTGGATGGCATCACCAACTCACTGGACATGAGTTTGGGTAAACTTTGGGAGTTTGTGATAGACAGGCAGGCTGGGCTGCTGCGGTCCATTGGGTCGCAAAGAGTCGGCCACGACTGAGCGACTGAACTGAACTGAACTGAGTCAAGGATTGGCTCCGTGATAATTCGCTTCCAAAGGCGGGAGACAGGTTGTATCCCTGAACCTGTAAGATCCCCTGGAGTAAGAAATGGCAACCTCGTCTATAAGTCAAAAGGTTTTTCTTTATTGCTGAAGGCCGAGCAAGCAGGATTGCTTGTCTTGCACCACAACCCAACCTCATCTCGCCGCACCTGTCCTCCTTTTCGCTCTTCCTCACTACACCAACCACTGGCAGCTAGCGACGCCAAGGCTGGGCAGAGCTTTGGAAATTTTGAAGGCAGAGGGAGGCGAAGCAGAAGTTAGGGGAACTGAAAAGCCTTCTTGTAGCAGTATTCCCTGCCAACAAAAACTCTTTGCCCTGTGCCCTTAAGAAATATGACGTTCGGCGAAGACGCACTTCCGGTCATGGAGCCAAACAAAATCCGGGAGGGCAAGAGACCGGAAGTAGCCGCCCTCGCGCCACTCCTCCCGCCCCCTCTTAATTTCCCAGCATCTTTTGGGAGAATGAGGCTGCTTGAGGGCTGTGGCTGAGGTTGCGGTTGCTGGGTGACAAGTCGGAGCCCGGACTGGGTGAGTGCCCGCTGTCTCGGCCGCGGATCGGTTCACTTTGCTCGGGTGACCTTCGTCCTGCTGGGGATAGAGGGCGGGGAGTCGTGCGCGGGGCGCTCTGTGAAGAGGCGCCGCCGCGGGGTCTGCGGCAAAGGAGAGAGCTGGAAGGGTTGCGAGTGGGGCCGGCGCCCGGGTCGGGCCCGAGGAGCCCGCGAGGTCAGTGCCCAAAGTCGGGCGGCCGGGTCCGGGTCAGGGCTCGCGGGACGGGGGTGGGGTCTGGCACCGAGCCCCGCAGGCGGGGCTCCCGCGCCTGGTGTGGAGGACGGGAAAGGCCTTTTTCCAAGGAAGGCGTTCACAACCAGCTGAACCGGGTGGTTATTGTCACCGTGGTTTCTCTCACAGCCATTCGGTCAGTCATTTCCTGACCCCTTGGAAGTCTCAGCCTTCTTTATGGCTGCTCTGCTCCATTTTACACACATGCACACAAGGATTAGACAGGTGTGTGATCGGTTTTGTTGGGTGCTTTTTATGAGAAGCTACCACCAAAAATTATTTTTCTTAACTTAAATTCCTTGAAGTTCTTGTTACCTTGGCTGGAAACGTTGATGCTCTTTATGAGGCTTGTCTCCTTATTTGCTGCGATGAGAACTACTACTTTCTAAACGTTTGTATTGCTCTTTTTAAAGCTTGCCTCCTTATTTGTTGCGACGAAAACTAATTTCTAAACGTTAGTATTGCATCAAACGTTCATATGATTTGAAGTTTTATTTACTCACTCTGCCTATCCACCTCCACACACCTAGAGGTCAAGGTTGAGAGACAGTAACTTATTGTTGGTGAACTTGGCTTCATCTCACTCATCCTGTTCCCTGATGTAGTTAAGTCACATGCACTCTTACTAGCATGAAAACAAATAACCCATTCAAAACAATGGGCAGAAGACCTGAATAGATATTTCTCCAAAGAGGACATACAGAAGACCAATAGGCACATGAAAAGATGTTCAACTTCAGTAGTTATTACAGAAATGCAAATCAAAACTGAAATGAGATATCACCTTACAGCATTTAGAATGGCTGTCATCAAAAAATCCAAAACAACAAATGCTGGAGAGGGTGTGGAGAGAAAAGAACCCTTCTATGTTGCTTATAGGAATGTAATAGTCACTATGGGAATCAATATAGTCACTTTGGAGAGCAGTATGAAGGTTCCTTAAAAAACTAAAAATAGAGCTACCATATGATCCAGCAATCCCACTCCTGGGCATATATCTGCAGAAGAACATCCAAAAGGATACATGCACCCCAGTGTTCATTGCAACACTTTTTACAATAGCAAAGACATGGAGGAAACCTAAATGTCTATCTACAGAGGACTGGATAAAAAAGATGCAGTACATATATTACAATGGAATATTACTCGTCCATTAAAAAGAATGAAATAATACCATTTGCAGCAACATGGATGGACCTAGAGAGTGTCATACTTAGTGAAATGAGTCAGAGAAGGAGAAATATCCTATGACATCCCTTGTATGTGGAATCTGAAAAGAAATATACAAATAAATTTACAAAACAGAAAAAGACTCATAGACTTAGAAAAGGAACTTACGGTTGCCAGGGGAAGGGATAGTTAGGGACTTTGAGAATGTCATGTCCACACTGCTGCTGCTGCTGCTGCTAAGTCTCTTTGGTTGTGTCCGACTCTGTGCGACCCATAGATGGCAGCCCACCAAGCTCCCCCAACCCTGGGATTCTCCAGGCAAGAGTACTGAAGTGGGTTGCCATTTCCTTCTCCAGTGCATGAAAGTGAAAAGTGAAAGTGAAGTCGCTCAGTCGTGTCTGACTCTTAGCGACGCCATGGACTGCAGCCCACCAGGCTCCTCCATCCATGGGATTTTCCAGACAAAGAGTACTGGAGCGGGGTGCCATTGCCTTCTCCGCATGAACACACTGCTATATATAAAGTGGATAATCAGTAAGGACCTACTGTATAGCACATGGGACTCTGCTTCATGTTATGTGCTAGCCTAGATGGGAGGAGGGTTTGGGGGAGAATGGATACATGTATATGTATGGCTTCCCAGGTGATGCTAGTGGTAAAGAACCCACTTGCCAATGCAGGAGACACAGGTTCAATCCCTGGGTCAGAAAGATCCCCTGGAGGAGGGCATGGCAATCCACTTCAGTATTCTTGCCTGGAGAATCCCATGGACAGAGGAGCCTGGCAGGCTGCAGATCATGGGGTTGCAAAGAGTTGGACATGACTGAAGTGACTTAGCATACCTATGTATGGCTGAGTACTTTCAAGGTTCACCTGAAACTGCCACAACATTGTTAATTGACTATACCCCAGTACAAAATAAAAAGTTTAAAGTTTGGGGGGAAAAATAGAGTCACATGCACTCAGAATTTGGCTAGTTTTCATCATCAGCAAAGGGAACTAAAGTAGAAATTGCGATCAAATTTTGGGCAATAGACTTCTCATATTTTAGTGGAATATTGCCCAAAAGTAGTCTTTAATTGTCTGAGTAAATCACTTCTCTCCCGAAAACAGCTACGTAAAAATATTTAAGGGGACTTCCCTGGTGGTACAATGGCTAAGACTCCACGCTCCCAATGCAGGGGGCCTGAGTTTGATCCTGGTCGGGGAACTAAATCCCACATGCCACCATTAAGAGCTTGAATGCTGCAGCTGAAGAGCCCACAAACTATAACTAAGACCCAGCAGAGCCAAATAAATGTTTTGGAAGTTTGTTTCATTGGGAAGTCAGTGTTGCTGAAAAGTGTCATTAACTCACGTGTCTTTAATTTGTACTTTTCTAACTTTTTATTTTCAGCATAATGGCAGAAACTGCTTCTCCACTGAAGCACTTCGTGCTGGCTAAGAAGACAATTACAGCGATCTTCGACCAGTTACTGGAGTTTGTTACTGAAGGATCGCATTTTGTTGAAGGTTAATATCTCTAAGTTTTTAAAATAATTACTTTTGAAAACATATAAAGATCCTTTATTCTTTCAGCCTTGGATACAGAACACATACGGAGCATTGTGCTATATGAGATACCATAACAAAACCCATTTCTGCTGACCAAAGGAGGAACATTGAATTATATTAATAGCAACTAAGAAAGAAGTATATGTGTGAGGTCCTGTTCTAAGCACTTAATAATAGCTCATTTAATACTCAGATCAACAGAGGAAGATTTTAATCACACTCATTTTAAAGATAAAGGACCTAAGGTACAGAAAAGGTGAGCAGCTTACCAAAGATCACACAACTTGTAAATGCCCAGACTAAAAAGTGAGGCAGCCCACATTTAGCCATTATATTTATCTCCCTGTCAACTCAACAGTTAAGTCAACATCTCATATCTGTTTTAGTGAAAAGTAAGACGGGAAAGCTGTGACAAACCTAGACATTGTATTAAAAGCAGAGACATTACTTTGCCAACAAAGGTCCGTATAGTGAAAGCTATGGCTTTTCCAGCAGTCAAGTATGGATGTGAAAGTTGGACCATAAAGGCTGAGCACCAAAGAATTGATGCTTTTGAGCTGTGGTGCTGGAGAAGACTCTTCAGAGTCCCTTGGAGAGCAGGGAGATCAAACCAGTCAGCCCTAAAGGAAATCAACCCTGAATAGTCATTGGAAGGACTAATGCTGAAGCTGAAACTCCAATACTTTGGCCACCTGATGCAAAGAGCCAGCTCATTGAAGTTGGCTGAAGCTTCAATACTTTGGCCACCTGATGCTGGGAAAGATTGAAGGCAAAAGGAGAAGAGGGGTGGCAGAGGATGAGATGGTTAGATGGCATCACTGATTCAATGGACATGAATTTGAGCAAACTCTGGGAGATAGTGAAGGACAGGGAAGCCTGGCATGCTGCAGTCCATGGCATCACAAAGAGTCAGACAGAGCTTAGTGACTGAACAACAGCCATTACCTATTCAAACCCCACTCTTAGCATGTGAATCCCTCTGCTCAGTTCAAGATTTGAAGCTCCTGTCAGAATGAAATTATAATTGGTGGATATTAGGTTCTAGTTACTCTGTTCAGAAATGCGTTTTGGTCTTAAGTGGGTATTTTGTATTAGATGAATAATAAATACCCTTTTGGGTCTTCCCTGGTAGTCCAATGGCTAAGACTCTGTCCCAGTGCAGGGGACCTAGGTTCAAATCCTAGTCAGGGAACTAGATCCCATATGCTGCAACTGAGACACAGCACAGCCAAATAAATAAACATTTTAAAATTAAATAAATACCCTTTTGACTGGACCCCTGTAATTTTTAATAATTTTGTAATTCTGAGCAGTATTCCTAATGACCCGTTGCAACAAGGCATTCATCTTTTACCAAATATTCAGATACCATGCCATTTTTATTTTCAAATGTCATGTTAATATAGAACAAAGCCAAAATGTATGCACATCTTAAGTATTTTATAATTACTGGAGTGGGTTGCCATTTCCTTCTCCAGGGATCTTTCCAACCCAGGAATGAAACCCAGGTCTCCTACACTGCAGGCAGATTCCTTACTGACTGAGCTATAAGGGAAGCCCTATAATTAACGTAATATTCATCTATATTATTTTGTCTAATACCATTTTAATTTTACAGCAACATATAAGAATCCAGAACTTGACCGAGTAGCTACAGAGGATGATCTGATAGAAATACAGAGGTATAAAAACAAGCTTTCCATCATTGGTGAGGTGCTATCTCGGAGACACATGAAAGTGGCATTTTTTGGCAGGTAACTCTTTACTATTCTTCTCAAGGATAGTGTTCAGCTTGATCATATCTGCAGCTTTGTTTCTGATGTTTCAGCAAGGGTATTCCTTCTTCTCTTTACAGCAGTTTCTGCTCATATTAAATGTTCAAGCTATTAGCATGTAAGAGAGTTTGTTCATTTTAGTTCCTGGTATAAAATAAAGCTTTATGAAAGTCATTTCTTTTTTAAGGGTGCTCATCTCTAAGAATTGGCTTCTTAGCCAATTATAAGAATAGAAAAACAGATAAGTATAATTTGTGACTTACTCTTTTAAATTTCTATGGATTTTCAGGTGTGACTTCCAAAAAGGTTTTCAGCTCCAGGATTCCCAGAGGGAGAATAAGACATGCCATTCCTTAAAGAATCTTGTGGAGTGATAAGAGTGATTTCTGCCACAGCTCATACATTAATTTAGGGACCATTTGTTAACTGTCTATGCACCAATCACTAGAGATGCAAAGACAAATGACAAGGCCCATACTTGGTTGTTCAGATGTCATGTGGCATAATGTCATGTGGCATGTCATTAGGCATAAATGCCTAATAGAGGCATTTATTTACTCATTAAGCTAACCTCGTGGGCCTTCTAAGCTATTTCCCGTCTTAGGGCTTTAGCACTTTGGTCTATCCGTAGAATTCTCTGTGTCTTGTTCAGTGTCGGACTCCTTTGCATTCTTTAAGTCTCATTCTAAATGTTACTATAGAAACCTTTCCAGACCAAGCTATCTAAGCTATTCCTTTTCAGTTATTCTCTATTAAACCACCTTGTTTATGTCCCTGAAAGCTTTTCTTCAAGCTTGTTTCTGTTTGTTTTTTTTGTTGTTTGCTTTGCCCACTTGACCGTATGCAGAGTCTAGTATGAAGTAAGTCCATGAAAGAGACCCTACGTCAGGTTAGGGTGGGGTAGGAGTTAGAGTAGGAGGGGGAGGCTTGTTGGGGAAGTGATGACTCAGTTGTCCTACTTGAGAAGAAGAAACAGGAATGAGTTTTGCATGTAAAGAAGGTCCAGCCCAGATTTAAGAAGATTTAAGAATGGATATTAGACCACACCTTGTTATGGGAATCAAAAAGCAAGAAAGATTAAAAAGGGTAAGGGAAGATAGCTTTATGGGAAAGGTAGGATTTGTTTTCCTCCATTTTGTTTTTCTGAAATGTACATTGCTAATAGTTATGTAAATCAAGTTGTTGACTTTTTCATAAAAAATGGAATCTGGTGAAATTTTTGTACAAAATTTGCATTCTAAAAAAGTTGGCCTTTGACCCAGTGAAAGAACAAAATTTTTATCATGATGTTTTGTCGTGATTTTGTGTATTCATTCTTCAGGACAAGCAGTGGGAAGAGCTCTGTTATAAATGCCATGTTGTGGGATAAAGTCCTCCCTAGTGGGATTGGCCATACAACCAATTGCTTCCTGAGTGTTGAAGGAACTGATGGAGATAAAGCCTATCTCATGACAGAAGGGTCAGATGAAAAAAAGAGTGTGAAGGTATACTGTTTGACCTTTAGTAGCATAATGCACCTGAAACAATGTCCTTAACTTGTTCTTTTAGAAGCTTTTACAAGATGTCTGCATTGCTAGAGATAGAAGAACCATTAGTATTTCTTCATAGCTTTTAAAACCATCAGTAATATTTTGGATTTTCTCAGATACTTTTGCTTCAGAGCTAAATTCTTGGAACAATAAAACCTGTCCTTAACTTAAAATAAAGATAAATTAGAATTAAAAGTTTATAAAATTTTTAAAGTACTGTTCCCAGTGAAAAGAACATTACTGAAGTGTGTCATTGCCGTTAGTCACAAATCTTGTCTTTCTAAAGAAAGCTTTGTTTGAAAAATTGGGCTCTGGAATCTGTTTTTGACCCACATCTGTGCCTTTACAAACTCTTCTTGCCTTTGGAATATTTGGTAAGCTAATTCATGTCTAAATGCTATACTTTATCAGATAAAAGCCAGTGGTAGTTCCTTGCTGCTGCTGCTGGTAAGTCGCTTCAGTCGTGTCTGACTCTGTGTGACCCCGTAGACGGCAGTCCCACCAGGCTCCCCTGTCCCTGGGATTCTCCAGGCAAGAACACTGGAGTGGGTTGCCATTGCCTTCTCCAATGCATGAAAGTGAAAAGTGAAGGTGAAGTCGCTCAGTCGTGTCTGACTCTTTAACGACCCCATGGACTGCAGCCTGCCAGGCTCCTCCGTCCATGGGATTTTCCAGGCAAGAGCACTGGAGTGGGGTGCCATTGCGTTCTCCAGTAGTTCCCTACTTTGTATAAATTTCTTAAGGAATTCAGTGGCACTAGGTTTTTTCAGCCAAACAAAAAGAAAAAATTAGGATGCAAGTTGTTTGCTTTGGTGAAAGCAAGTGGAAAAGGCACTGTTTCTCATATTCACTTTAGTCATAAGAGGTTTTGCACAAATATAGAAGTTCAGTTTGTGAAGATCCATGCCATTTTTGACTAAATTGTAGGTGAATTCATAGGTTTAGTCATCCTTCTGTGAGTTTGCTGTTTGATCAGAGCAGGTAACTCAATCGGTCTAATACCCTTCAGTATTTATTTATGAGCAATAAATGAGATGATATTTATGAAAATATTCAAACTTTTAAGCCATACACAGGAGTGACAAGTTTGTAATTCTATCAAAAAGCTTATAAAAGCAAACAAAAAAACCACTACTTACCATTGTCACTGCGGAAATTCACTTCAACCCTGATCAGGACTACTGTGGCCATTTGATAATAGATGTTTCCGTTTTAAAGTTTCATGTAAATTGCAAAAGAATCATAGAGGTATGTGTGTTGATGCCTTTTCCTTGATTATTAATTTTGTCTTAAGCCCTTTGAACTTAATTGTATGTTTAATTTAACATGTACATGAAAGATAATAAACGAATGTATATCAGAAGTCATCTTGAGAAGTAGAAATATTTTAGGGAGCTTAAATGGAAAGAGAGGGCATCAGTCAGTTCAGTTCAATTGTTCAGTCGTGTCTGACTCTTTGTGACCCCATGGACTGCAGCACACCAGGCTTTCCTGTCCATCGCCAACTCCCGAAGTTTACTCAAACTCATGTCCATCGCGTTGGTGATGCCATCCAACCATCTCATCCTCTGTCGTCCCCTTCTCCTCCTGCCTTCAATCTTTCCCAGCATCAGGGTCTTTCAAATGAGTCAGTTCTGTGCATCAGGTGGCCAAAGTATTGGAGTTTCAGCTTCAACATCAGTCCTTCCAGTGAACACCCAGGACTGATCTCCTTTAGGATGGACTGGTTGGATCTCCTTGCAGTCCAAGGAACTCTCAAAGTCTTCTCCAACACCATAGTTCAAAAGCATCAATTCTTCGGTGCTCAGCTTTCTTTATACTCCAACTCTCACATCCATACATGACTACTGGAAAAACCATAGCCTTGACTAGATGGACCTTTATTGGCAAAGTAATGTCTCTCCTTTTTAATATGCTGTCTAGGTCATAGCTTTTCTTTCAAGGAGCAAACATCTTTTAATTTCATGGCTGCAGTCACCATCTGCAGTGATTTTGGAACACCCCAAAATAACTTCCCTGGTGGACTTCCCTGGTGGCTCAGATAGTAAAGTGTCTGCCTACAATTGCGGGAGACCCGGGTTCAATCCCTGGGTCAGGAACATCTCCTGGAGAAGGAAATGCAGCCCACTCCAGTGTTCTTGCCTGGAACATCCCATGGATGGAGGAGCCCGGTACTACAGTCCACGGGGTTGCAAAGAGCTGGACATGACTGAGTGACTTCACTTTCCTTTCCTTTCCTGAAAATAAAATTTGTCACTGTTTCCATGGTTTCCCCATCTATTTGCTATGAAGTGATGGGACCAGATGCCATGATCTTAGTTTTGTGAATGTTGAGTTTTAAGCCAGCTTTTTCACTCTCCTGTTCCACTTTCATCACAAGGCTCTTTAGTTCTTGTTTGCTTTCTGCCATAAGAGTGGCATCATCTGCATATCCGAGGTTATTGATATTTCTCCCCACAGTCTTGATTCCAGCTTGTGTTTCCTCCAGCCCAGCACGTGGCTGTTGCTAACTTGAAAGCACTCGTGTGTGCATACGGCCTAGCGACATTCCTTTACCTGCCCCCCATTAGTAAGCAATAAATTCATTTTAGAAGAGTCAGGAAATAGAATTAGAAAAAAAGAAAAGAAACTCCACAACTCACACACTTCCAAAATCAGTGGAAATATTTTGGTATAGAGTTAAATTGGTGTTTCTCTGTATTTTTAAAAGAAAATGGTTTTATATGCTATTTTCTTATTTGCTTTTTTTCCCTTAATATATTGTAGATTCATACATACAGTATAATCAAGTTCAGGTGTTGCATAGGATGCCATTTGTTGGGGCATTTAGAATGTTTCCAGCCCATTGTTTTGCATGATGGTATGAGTCAACTGTTTTCATGGCTGTTATTTTCTTTTTTTCCTACTTGGTAATTTTAAACCTCAGGTTTTTCAAGATTGCCCCAGATAGTTTTATTTCAAATTACATAAAGTTCTGCTTTTTCCACATGTTTTGCAAAAATAAACTTAGCAAGTCCTAATATTTAAAATTTTTCTTGAATTTTGTTATAAGTAGTTTTGTTTTTTCTTTCCTTCCCTTTTTAGACAGTTAATCAGCTGGCCCACGCCCTTCATATGGACAAAGACTTGAAAGCTGGGTGTCTTGTGCATGTGTTTTGGCCAAAGGCAAAATGTGCCCTCTTGAGAGATGACCTGGTTTTAGTAGACAGGTAAAATTACATATGAAATGTTTTCTCATTGTAAAAGTTTTGTTTAATAGAAATGCTGCTTGTATGTCGAATGCAGTACATAAAAATTTTAAATGTTCAATTGCTGCTTTGTTCTCCTTTGCTAGATTGTAACAGAACATTTAAGGTATTATTTTTTATTTTGTTTCTTAATGGTTACATGAAAGTGCTGATTTATCAGTATAATTCTAGTACAGGAAATTTCAAGAACTGACCACTTTTTTTGCTAGACTGACTTTGTAGTTTGGATAATGGGCTGAGCCTTAGACACTGTCTGATTCTAGATACATTGATTATTGTTGTGTTTTAGTCACTGAGTCGTGTCTGACTCTTGACCCCATGGACTGTAGCCCACCAGGTTCCTCTGTCCATGGGATTTCCCAGGCAAGAATGCTGTAGTGGGTTGCCATTTCCTTCTTTGGGGGATCTTCTTGACCCAGGGATTGGACCCACATCTGTGGAAGCCCAGATATCTTTGATAGATAACTAACCAGTTATTGTTTTTAATCAATAATCATTCTTGAGACCTAGTTTCCCAGAGTAACTGCTGGACAGTTCATACAGCTTTTCGTTGTTCAAGAATTAATCAAATGCTTTTGTAATTTATTCCCAGCTCTTCTGATTAACCTGCATTTAATATGTTCTTTAAAAATCATCCTACTACATTGGTGCTTAATAAAATGGTAATGCATGTCCCTTTAGCAGAGTCCTTAACCAAAAAAAAAGTAGTTAAATGATTAAAAATTATGGTATGCTCTTTTGTTTTCTTAAGTTAAAATTTCAATGTTTTATGGAAACTTTTTTTTTATTTGATGAGGGCTTTCCCTTTTGATTGAAAGAGTATTTCAAGTAATTTAACAGAAATAGCTTGGATGAGAGAAAAGGTACTTGAGAAATAAAAACACTGAGTTTATTTTTTTTATGTTTTAATTTTTTAAATAATTAATTTTTGGCCATACCATGTGGCATATGGCATCTTAGTGCCTCAACCAGGGATTGAACTTGCGCCCCCTAACCATTGAACTGCCAGAGAAATCAGCTAAAATATTTAGTTTAAATATAATAGTTTTAATTTTTCTTTTACTTCATGGCCAAACTGTATCTATGACCCCAACCAGTTTATCTTGCCAGCTGGTCACAGGATACATCAAGCCAATGTATATACAGTTCGACTATACTTTTTATAGTATAAATTGTGTGTTAGCGTCATTTTTTTTTCTAGTGCTTATTTTCAGCCTCCCAGAGCATAAAGTTTTTCTTTTATTAGAATATAATTGCTTTATAATGCTGTGTTAGTTTCTGCTGTACAGTGAAGTGAATCAGCTATATATATGCATATGTCCCCTCCCTTGGGCCTTCTAGACCTCCCTCCACTCCACCACGCCCTCCCACCCATCACAGAGCACCAAACAGGACTTCCTGTGCTTCAGTGCAGGTTCCCACTAGCTATTTTAACACATGGTAGTGTGTGTGTATACACACACACACACACACACACACACGTATATATATATCAGTCTTAATCTCCTTGAGAAAACCGTAATTTAAAAGGACGCATGTACCCCAGTGTTCATTGCAGCACTACTTAAAGTAGTCAGGACAAGCACACAGCCTAAGTATCCAATGGCAGATTAATGGATAAAGTAGAAGTGGTACATATATATACAGTGAAATATTACTCAGCCATAAAAGGGAAATAGGGTCATTTGTGGAGATGCGGATGGACCTAGAGAGTCTGACACAGAGAGTAGAGTAAGTCAGAAAGAGAAGAACGAATACCGTATATTAAAGCATAAAGATTTTAAATATTTATCATGTTACTTGTTTTGTCAAAAATCAGGAAGTTTCCTCTCTTTAATAAATAAATATTTTTAACATTTGTTTAGTTGTCAGTTGGATAGGCTCTGGGAGTTGTCAGCAGAAGTATATAGAGCACAGTTCTCAACTTTCCACAAGTGTTCTCTTATAGGTGAGAAAGTAATTTAAATCTCCTAGGCTTCAGGCTGATAACTGGTAGAGATCCTATCCTTTAGACTTCAACTAATTCTTAAAAGTTAAAAAAAATTATCTCTCTGTAATCTAAATTTTCTTTTTAAAGAATGTATGACAAGACCCACTGCGGTATTGTAAAGTGATTAGCCTCCAACTAATAAAAATAAATGGGAAAAAAAAAATGTATAGGGACTTCTTGGAGGCCCAGTGGTTAAGAATCTACGCTTCTGTGTGAGGGGTGTGAGTTCGATTCCTGATTAGGGAACTGGGATTTCATATCCTACATGCTGTGCAACATGGCCAAATGAAAAAATACATATGTACATATATATATATGTATGTAAAATATAATTCTTATTTTGTTCCCATTAGTCCGGGCACAGATGTCACTACAGAGCTGGATACTTGGATTGATAAGTTTTGCCTAGATGCTGATGTCTTCGTTTTGGTTGCAAATTCCGAATCAACTCTAATGAACACGGTAGGATGTAATCATTCTTTTGTTTGAGTGATAGAATATGAAGTAATATCCTTTCTGATTATGAAAAGTAAGGGAAATCCAAATTGTATATTAGAAGGAAGCTGTAATATCAGGGGTGAATGAAGGGGTTTGTGTTTCTTTGGGACTAGAAAGACTGATTTTTGGTTTGATGGTTCTAGCTTGTAGTGAGTATTTGAGTTCAAGGTGTGTTGTTGACATTTACTGTAGTTATTTGCAAGTTTCTAAAGTAACAGACACCAGAATTGTTAGGCTGTTGACTTAAGTATTTTAAATAAGATAGAACACTCCCACCTCACCTTCCTGTCTGGCAGGCAAAGCTTTTCATATTTTGAGTTTTGTCAACTTTCTCACAAAGGTTTACCTGTGTACGCCCTAGATATCTGCTTACCTGTGTACACTCTTAAGCTGCTGTTAAACACAGATTATTTATCCGGGATGTCTAGAAACAGACATATCTCAAATAAACTTCCCAGAGTTTCGATATCTAGTATCCAAAGCTATAGTGTAATTTTTAAACATTATTCCTCAAAACCATATAAATAGCCAAACACCATTAAAACCTATGTGTTACCAACAGGTCCTATTTTGTCACTGTGTTAGTAGTGTTTATGTGGCCTGATCTATATTATAAACCATGTTGCTCTGACAGCACTGACAGCTCTTTACAACCTGATGATATAAAAGATAGGTAAATGTTTAAAATCTGGTTTAGAGTAACTCCATTATTTAGGTGTCAGGTAAACAAACTTTGATATACATCTTGACTTTGGTACCTTTGTTTATGTTATTCTTGGCTCACAATTCTTTTCCCTCTCAATTTTTCTGTCCTTCAAAAAGCCATTATCAGTACCATCAAACCTATCTTTATCATCACTTCCTCCTTTATAGATGATTTCTTAATTTCAGTTGGATGTTTGTAGCATTTATGGCACATACGTTTTATTGTTTATTATGATGAAGTGAAGATGAAGTGAAGTCGCTTAGTTGTGTCCGACTCTTTGCGACCCCATGGACTGTGGCCTACTATGCTCCTCTGACCATGGGATTTTCTAGGCAAGAGTACTGGAGTGGGTTGCCATTTCCTTCTCCAGAGAATCTTCCTGACCCAGGGATCGAACCCGGGTCTCCCGTGTTGTAGGCAGACGCTTTACTGTCTGAGCCACATGGGAAGTCCTATGTTTATTATGATACATGTGTCTTACATTAATTTACTTAGGCTGAATCTTCAAGATTTGAGGTAGCTTTTTAAAAGTACTGTCATATCTAGCAGTATCTTATGTCCTGCATGTAGTAGAAACCGATAAATATTTGTTCAATTGAATTTCAATAAAGACTCATGAGAGAAGCAGGAAAATCTTAACTTTTGCTTTCTTATATTTTAATTTTGTCATCTCTGGAAGTTTAATGTTCAGAGTGCTTTGGGATCCTTTATCTCAGTAGGTATTTTGGGTGTTCTCACTGTTGTTAAATGGTTCAAATAAGATTTAATCAAATAAGATTTAGATTCAAATAAGTTTTCATGTATAAATATAGAAATAAAGTAGCTTTAAAAGTGAACATACTGTTGGGTATTGGATGTTTTTCAGGAAAAACAGTTTTTTCACAAGGTAAATGAACGACTTTCCAAGCCTAATATTTTTATCCTGAATAATCGCTGGGATGCCTCTGCATCAGAGCCAGAATATATGGAAGATGTAAGTTACATTTTTTCCCTTAAGTTTTGAAATATAGTAATGTACATTGGTATCTGAGAAACAATACACATCATAGAGTAGAACATCATAAGCAGCTATCCTCTTGAGAAAAGAGTATAATTGTACAAAACCTGAAGTGGATATGTGCTAAGAACAGAGTATTAAGCTACTTTGAAATAAAGTTGTATTATGACAGTACTGTCAAATTATTTTAGATCGTGAAGCACCCTTTTTAATTCTCTGTTTAAGTATAACATAACAGAAAAGTGTACAAATCACTGGTGTCCAGCTCAGTGGATTTTACAAATGTAACACCTTTGTGAGGGTTCAGGTCAAGAAGGAGAACACTCCAGCACCCCGGTATCCCCCATTTCTAGCTTCTACCCTCCACCCGAAGGATAACCACTTGTGTCTCTGATAGCCTAAATTAGTTTTTCTGGTGGTTCAACTTTGTGTAGTGGAACCACATAGTATCTACTTCTGTGTCAGGTTTCTTTGTTCAGTGTTAAATTTGTGACATATGTGCATTCTGCCGTGCGTAGATGAAGTACGTTCTCATTGCTGTATAGTCTTTCGTCCTATGAATGACAGTTGGTCTCTTCATTCTGATAGTGATGGGCATTTGGGTAACTTTCCTTCATTTAGCTATTGTGAACAGTGCTGCTTGGCATCTTCCTGTGTGTGTCTTCTTGTTGCTCACTGGTGTATATTTCTCTTGCATATATACAGCGCTTCTCACTGTGAGGGGTTCTGTGCCACTAGCATCTAGTGGGGATGGGCTTGCGATGCTGTTAAATGACCTGTAACACAGAACAGCTCTTGCCCCCAAGCCAGATTTATCTGACTCATAGTGTCAGTAATGCAGGAATCAGTAATCCATGGGTGTAGATCGAGGAGTAGAATTCCTGGATTATAGGTAAAGAATATGCTGTTTTAATAAATGCAGCCCAAGAGTTTTTTGAAGTGCTCATATAAGTTTATATTTCCGTCACCACATTGAGAGTGCCACATGATTTATATCATTGCCAGTGCTTGGTATTTTTTGCTTTCATTTTAGTCATGCTGGTGGTTTTAGAGACTTTTTAGAAAGGATGAAGAATCTGGCATTTAGTATACAAGTAATATTTAATTTGCTTGATATTTATTATTTTTTTAAGAAAACTTATAGAGAATTCTTTGGCAGTCCAGTGGTTAGGACTCCATGCTTCCATTGCAGGGGACATGGGTTCAATCCTTGGTTAGGGAACTAAGATCCCACAAGCCACATAGCCTGGTCAAAAACAAACAAACAAAAAAAAAAACTTTAGAAAATACATTAAAAAAATAAAATTTATACTGTCCCATCACTATTCACATGTTAGATTATTTGCTTTCATTCTTCCTCTGACCCCCCAAATTGAAATTTTGCTTAATATGAAACCTTATATCCTGTTATTAACTCATTTTGTAATCATACTCTTTCAAATCAAGCTCTCATTTAATCACAGAATCAGAAGATAGCACCCACAGATTGTTCTTCTCCATTCCTCTTTAGTTTAATTTTATTAAGTCTTAACATGGAGATCTCTTATCATAGCCATAATGTTAAAGGCTGGTACTAAACCCTCATTAACTTTTAATCCTTATTCTTTATTTAGATACGCAAGTGCTAATCTTAAACTTAATGTCACAGCTCTAATCCATAGCTGATGTATTCTCCCCAATTTTAATTGCCAGTGTTTTTTGGAAGAAAAATATACCGTTTATGCTCTGATTTCAAAATAAAACTAACTTCATTATAGCAAATTTATTGTAGCACTTATTTTCTAATTTTAATAGCTTCATTGTAGAAAATTTATAAAATAAAATCCTAAGGAAGAAATTAAATTGCCACCCATTTTAGTGAGTGTTGCCTGCATGCCATGTATTAATTACATAAATATGCATACACATCATATATCCTTAATACAGAATTAAGAACCTTTCCCTGTGCCATTAAGTACTAGTATTTGTCTACAATATATTTTTTAATGGTTGTGTAGTATTTGATGGGCCATCAGAATTTTAAATTAAATGTTCAAGGAAGAAACACCCAAGTTAAGAGGAAGATTTCCCATCAGCAAGTATCAGACTTCATTTATTAGAATTTTTGGATTTATTTGTTAATTATAAGACAAAACTAACAAAATGTTGTAAAGCAGTTATACTCCAATTTTTAAAAAAGTAGTTGAAAAAAATTAAGTTGTTAAAAAAAAGTATAAGGCAACTGTTACTACATAGTATAGTAATCAGTTCAGTTCAGTTCATCGCTCAGTTGTGTCTGACTCTTTGTGATCCCATGAACTGCAGCACACCAGGCCTACCTGTCCATCACCAACTCCCGGAGTCCACCCAAACCCATGTCCATTGTGTTGGTGATGCCATCCTTAATATCGCTATAAATGGAGTTTAGTATAGACCTGTAAATCATATTTGTCTAGTTATTAGAATTCTTTTAATACCTCCTTTTTTTTTTTGTTAGGTACGCAGACAGCACATGGAAAGATGCCTGCATTTCTTGGTGGAGGAGCTCAGAGTTGTGGATCCTTTCGAAGCACGCAATCGTATCTTTTTTGTTTCTGCAAAGGAAGTTCTTAGTGCTAGAAAGCACAAGGCACAGGGGATGCCAGAAGGTGGTGTGTATTCATTACAGATTTCCTTTTGAAATATAAATATGGATTATAAAAATAGCATGCAAATATCTTATCTTGCTATATACTGGGTTTTAAACTCTTCACCTAAATATTACAGGTGGGGCACTTGCAGAAGGATTTCAGGCAAGATTACAAGAGTTTCAGAATTTTGAACAAATCTTTGAGGTAGGAATTTTGTGAATGTATTGACTAATATAAAACTGGAGCTTTGGTTGGAAAGTGAGCATCATCTTCTGTTTTCATTACCTGTCTTTGTTAATAACCTTTGGTGTTATTTAGTGTAGTTTCTGAGAGAACAAGTGAAGCAAGGAAAGTTTGAAGAAAGAAGGTCCCTGCAAAATGGATGATCTGTAAGAACAGAGAATTAAAGATTATAATTTCTTCTTCTTCTTTTTTTATGTATTTGTATCTAAATGAGACATTATTTTCTAATATTGTGTTGTGTGATGAATATAATAGTCTGTATTCAGTAGTTAAGGACAAGATTAAAGAAATGTAATTGCTGTTGGAATGGGTAATAGAGCAAAATGAAGATCTTTTTTCTTTTCATAGAACATAGTTAATGCCATTTGACAAAAGTTAATTACATTTCTCAATTGTATTGCCACCTGTTAATTCTTCATGTTTTATGCCAAATGTCCTGAACAAAGCAAACAGATGCAAAAATAATTAAGATGCAGGTCCTATACTTTAGGGGAATCTAAGCTGCTGAGATGCAGGGATATCTAGTGTGTGTGCCAGTGGAGAGAGAAGATCCTGTTATATTTTGGGATAGGTGTTTTATTCAGAGACCTTAAAACATCCTAGACTGACTGAAAAATACTTTAGCTGTTAATCTTCTTGGCTCTCATTTAGCTCTATCTAGTTGTATTTATTAGATTACATATCTCCTCACCCCCAGATGAACACAAATACTCAGAACTGAAAAAACTTCCATCTGTAATTCTTCCTTTTAAGTAGTAACTATTATAATACTAAGGACATAAATATTGAATGTGCGTGGAAGAATTTTTAAAATTAATCATTTGCTCTCTATCCCCTACTTTTATTTATTTATTTTTTTATCCCCTACTTTTAATTTGGTGAGAAAAAGAAAGACCATTAGGTAGATAAAGACAAAATGTTTTAAGAGCCTACTCTTTGGTCTCTTGGTAAGGTGTTTTTGATTCTTCAGAGGTCCCTAGAATATCAATAGGTGTTCTGTCAGGTTAAGCTGTGGGATACATGATATCCCAGTTACTTAAAGATCGTTGTTTATATTCTTTCCCTTTTCTTGCACAAGAGAATCAATCCTTTACCCACTCTTACCAGGAACAATCATTTCATCCATGGGAAAAATATTGGGGAGAGTATCTTTTGTTGTTTCTCTCATCTTTTCTTACTTATTTGAGCTTTTCTTTCTTTGTGTATATGTGTTTATGATTGATTTCGCCTACCAAATCATGTACTGGTCAGTTATACGCTCATAGCTCTTTCATACTGGTTCCTGGTACAGCTTTTGCTTTCCCAGAATATCTCCTTGAAGAGGTGGGAATGAGAAGAATAAAAGATGTGCTGCAGAGCGCTGGGTCCCAGACCTGGCTGGTGATGAGAAACACATGAGGCACTTTAGAGACCGCAGGCTCCTGACCTGTCCCAGAGACTTAATCCAGTAGGCCAGGATGGCCTCGGAAGCTCCCAAATGTTTAAAGCTCCCCAAGTGATGGCGATAATCAGAAAGTTGGGGACTATTCTTTCTAAGGTGTTTAGAAGAAACTTGGTATTTCACTTTTTTATTTTAGAAGTTCTTTTGAGAATCGAAAAATTTATGTTTGGAAAAAACTATTTACAAGCAAGAGCTTTTCCAGGAAGTTTTCTAAAGCCTAACGTTCTTTAGAGTCTGAAATTTTTGTTTAAAGCTATGATAAATATAAAATGAGAATTAGCTAAAAAATGATTTGAATTTACCTAAGGAAATAGTCATATGGACAAACAATTTTGTCTTGATGTCCAAACCTTTTTTTGGTAATTAAATTGACAGCTCTTTTTAACTTTTTGCCAAAGTTCAAATTTGCTACCTTTAAAATTAATTTTGGTAATTTATGATTTCTTATAAATTGATACGTTGCTGAGAATTTATAATTTAGTATAAAATTATTTATTTAAAAGTTTTTGTATTCCTTTTCTCTATATACCTATATATAGATATATCATTAGATAAAGTATATAAGAAATATCTATATTTTAATCTTAATTGAGATTTGTCAATGATTTGATTGCTTTTCTTTATCCTCTAAAGATTAATTGGATAATTTGTCAGTTTATAAATAGCATTTTTTGGTTGTTAGTCATTCAGTTCAACTAATGTTTACAGAAAGTTTCTTTTTGCTTTCATTATAAAAGTGGAATGAATTTGTCTGTGAGTGTAGCTTTGGATGTTTTCCATGGCTTTCAGTACCCAGATTTCATTGTTGATTAATTTTTAACTATAGTTTTTGGCATTTCCTACTTAATACAGGAACTATTAAAATTCAGATCTTTTGATCCTTCCCATATGACTTTTCTTGATTTTTGTGTGTGTGTTGTGATGACATGTGGCCTTAAATGCCCATTTTCTGTTTTCAGAATTGACTTCTGTTTGTGTGTGTGTAGTCTTACGATTTTTGTGAAAAGAAAAACTGTACCAAGTTCATCATTTTATCAAACAATCTGATCTTTACCATAGACCTCTTGAGATTCATTTGATTTAGAAGAAGCTGAAAGGTATATTGTATCTTGGTGTTCTTTCTTGCACTTCTTCTGTCAGTTTAAAATATTTCCAAGTAACACGTTTGGAGTGGTAAATAGCATGTTATTGGGTATTTGGGATCTTTTATCAAGGGGACTTGACAGATTTGTTTTATGCTTTAATTACACATAAATATTAATATGTACAAATTTGTAACTATGTATGACTAGTTGTCAGCTGTTTTCTTTAGATGTTAGTAGAAAATCAGAAAATCTTAATTGAAATGTGATTATTGTTTTGCTTCTAAATCTTTAATAAGTTTTCAAGCAGCCTCTGGCATATTCTGATAAGATGAAATTTAAAATATCTGGTGTGGCATTTTAAACTTCACCTTATGAAAGCAGAGTTCCTGATGAAATAAGTCTGGATACTACTGCAGTGACCTCCATGGAGATTCATAAGTATATTAATGTATACAGGACTCTGAGAAATGGTTCAGTAAAGAAGCTTTATTTAAATTAGCATTCTCTATACTTCATTTGGAATAGAGTATTCCTTTTGTAGTTGACTTTTGATATTTTTCTGATCAGTGGGAACATCAATGTGGCATACTTTTTAATTAGAAAAAAATTGCCTGTTTTCTTCTTTCCACATATTCACTACTGTATATTTTTGAATCAAGGAGTAGCTTATAATAACTTGGAGATTTTTCCTTTTTGTCTAGTCTAGCTCTAATACTGTGCTGTTATCTACAAATTTGGGGTCTTCATTGCTGATATCTAGATCTGCTTCATCGAGGAACATAGAATTTCTTTTAACTTTTTTTCTTTTAAAAATATTCTTATTCTTTTATTATAGTTTTGTAAAGGTTAATTTGGCAATTAATGAGACACTTATTTAAAGTAAAATCAAAGCTTTGTTTTGGTCATTAAAAAATAAGCAGTTGCAGGAACTGTAAAAAAAGAAAAAAAATAAGCAGTTGACTCTTTAAATGTTTGATATTATGTAATTTTTCGTGGTTTTTGCTCTGGCATGTACAAAACAGAAAATACTCTTAACTTCCTAACACTAATCTTTTAAAGATTAATGATAATTGAGAAACTTATAAATGAGCTTGATGATGAGCAAAAATGAGACTATGCTTTGAAAAAAAGTAGTGGGCTCTGAGTTAAGGAAACTGTTAGCTAAATGAATTATCCTCATGTACCCTGGAGCTAAAGAAATGAATCTGTTTTGTTTTCTACACACTCCAGTATTCTGGCCTGGAGAATTCCATGGATTGTATAGTTCATGGGGTCGCAAAGAGTCGGACATGACTGAGTGACTTTCACTTTCTGTAAAGTGAAGTGAACAAAATAATCATTTAGAGATGTGAAGGTTTAACATAGATTATAAATAGGACATGGACTGAATATATGTTAATGATTTCAAGGTAATGAATAACAGTGCTAGGGTATTGACTGCCTTTAAAACTTCAAAGCTATTTATTTTGATAAAGGATAGTATTACTTTAGGAAGTAATTATCACAGTTTGTACCAGTTTTATATTAAGCTCAAGAAAATAAATTCATGGAAATATTAGAGAGTTGGAAGGTATATCCTTTTAAAAATTTATTGTAAAAAATAAACATAGTGTCCTACAGAACATCTGTTGTGCGTATTGATGTTGTGACCCAGATGAGTGTTTCTTGATTGTTCAAAGACCAGCTAGCATTTCTCTATAGATGCTTGCAGTTGTTTTCAGATGTTAATGTCAGTATAGAATTAGACTTTCTATGAAGTAAAAGTGAAAGGCCAATTTTAGTTTAATAATTTTGCAAAGATTTAAGTGATGAATCACAGTAAATATTTTAAATAACAAGCAGTATGCACACATACTGAAATGGAAACAATTTCACGAAAGAAACATCCATGATCATATGTGATGCATTTTGATGTATTATTCTCTGGGCAAAAAATAGTGGTCATGAAACACTGATTTGTACAACTTTTAGTAAGTTAAGAGTTGCAATTAACTTGAAAGTAAAACATGAGATAATGTATCATTCTGACCTGTATGCACATGCTATATTGTCCCATGACAGTAATGGGATTATCTTAGAAATAGCTATAGATATTTTCTGTAAACAATTTAAAATACTACATTGTGTAGTGTTAAAAGAGTATTTTTCAGTTTGTTCAGGCTTCAGTCTGTAGAAGTTCTTTTATGAATTTTATGTGACATCATTCAACTAATTTTTTTCAATGTATAATTCTGGTTCCATGGCTTAAGAACTTTATGAGGTGATCAATTACAAATTTGAGAAAGATCAAGATAGATGAACTAGAAATAGATTAAAGGTGATCCAAGTAAAATTAGTAATCTAATAGGAAATCTTTTTTAACATTGAAAATAGTACGCTTTTTAATTTGTTTTTGAAGATAGTATAGTCAAAGATCCATTGCACATTACTGTGTAAAATTACACAAAGCTATGAACTTGCTGTTAAAGCTTTTTTACTTTTGAATCCTTGACTTTTTTTAACCTTTATAACTTTGAGTTGTGTTTATGTTTCATTTATTTTCTTTCCTTGTGTCTGTTTTGGTTAATATGAACAGCAAGTTTTTGTGTTTAAATTCCTGAAAATGTTTGGATGGAATTACAGTAATGTGTTATGGCTTGGGCCCCTCGCAGGAGTGTATCTCGCAGTCAGCAGTGAAAACAAAGTTTGAACAGCACACTATCAGAGCTAAACAGATACTAGAAACTGTGAAAAACATAATGGATTCAATAAACGTGGCAGCAGCAGAGAAAAGGTATGAATTCATTTACTGCAAAATAAAAATTATTTTTGTGTCAATATAAAAAGACTGATCTAAAATTTTTATTGTTATTGAATACCTTTCACACTAACATCAACCTGATAGGTTTAGCTGATGCCTACTTGCATGTTTTTTAATGAATATTTGAAACTGTTAAGCATTTTTTTTTACAACCTTGAACACATTATTTACATTCTCAGTATACAGTCTCAGTATTCGTGTGTATGAGTTGTGATTTTTAAATGTTCAGTGAGTTGAAAATATCTTTAAAGCAGTGAAAGAACCATTTCTTCAAGCAAAATTTTTCGAAGTTCAAAACAGGTGACTTTTTTTTTACATTCAACCTATCACTCATCTTTTATTTATTCATATGTTGAAATCTTGAAATCACTCTTTTATGCTAGTTGTGGTTTTATGTCAGCTGGTAAACAAACAAGGTGGTACTACCTGCCAGCCAGAAGGTGAATTTGGTAAGCATTACTCCATATGTCATACTGTAGTACAGTATGTTTATTGTTTATTGTAACAATGAAAACAAATACAGAAACCGGCACTATTCAAAGAAAAGGGTAGTTCTCACAGACTTCGTACACTTGAAAAAAAGATCCAGATGTTATTAGATGTTACAGGCATAATGATGTTAAGCCTCAACTGAACCTTTAAATGCACTTAAGCCAATCAGTGGAAAGATATAAAGCATCTAAGATTAAATCCAAGGCGATGTAAAATTGGTAATTTTAAATGTATTCGATCTTGCTGAGAAGAAAACTCCACTCATATCTAGGTCTGTTGCCTAATTTTGGCATTTTTGTAGGATGCAATATATATAAAATTAGAGACTTTGCAGCGTATTAAACACAAGGGTCAGAACCCAGAGTGTGATCGCTGGCCTTGTCACAGTGTTTCTGTATGTTGGGCTCAGTTGCTATATTACGGTAGCCAAAGTAAGTATTGGTCCATTGGATTGACCTTAATTTCTATAAAAATGCAAACATTGAAATAAACCTGGCACCAAAAAAAAGATGTGAATTGAGGACGGTTTGTAACTCTTTTAGCTAAAGATATTTTTAAAAAAATCTCAGGCTTTTGTTTTCCGATATCATCTAAGGGTTAACAAATTTAGCAGATAGTAAATATTCTAGACTTTGTGGGCCATACTGTCTGTTTTGCAGCTCTCAGTTCTGCAGTTTTAGAGCAAAAGCAGCCAATTACACCTAATAGGTACATGAATGCATGTGACTGTATTCCAAGGAAAGTAACAAAAACTAGCAGCTGGCTGGATTGAGCTTTCAGGGAGCTTTATTAAGTAGGCTCAATAATGAGTTAGTTCTATTTTGAATATTTGTATCTGTGAAATGGGTGGAGATTTAGAATCCTTATTAATCCTTTGTGGGATTCAGGTGCCATAGGAGCAGAGAGATAGCAGTTTCTATCCAGTCATCTGTAAGACATTTTATGAGTGAAATGTTATTTGAATTCCTTTTAGATGTTGAAATACAAGGTGGTTTTTTTTTCTTACATCACACTAACAGATGGTTCAATATATAAGTGAGTGTCTCCTTAATTTCTTTAGGACTTAAATGTATCCTGAATATTAATTACTCTTCATACTATAATAGGGTTTATTCAATAGAAGAGAGGGAAGACCAAATTGATAGACTGGACTTTATCCGAAACCAGATGAACCTTTTAACACTGGATGTTAAAAAAAAAATCAGGGAGGTTACAGAGGAGGTTGCAAATAAGGTGGGTAACGTTAGCTTTGTGATAATATCTGGGAATGAAAATACTTTTGGTAGTGCTAAAAATATTATCCATGTGTTACTTTAAAAGAATATCAAGTTTTTTCAATTTGATTTTTTTGAGTAGTCAGTCATCTTGTTTAAATTTTCTAATTCTGATTTTTTGTATTTCCAGGTTTCATGTGCGATGACAGATGAAATTTGTCGACTCTCTGTTTTGGTTGATGAATTTTGTTCTGAGTTTCATCCTACTCCAAGTGTATTGAAAGTATATAAAAATGTAAGTTAAATTGTAGTTAAATGTTATTCAGATACAGTTTACTTGTCTTACCGAGTCTTAGTCCACGCCTCAGTGACTTCACCATTTTAGTGTCTTCATGGCAATCAGTGCAGGATTAAACTGTTAGCTCTCCTGTGCATTCTTATAATAAATGTAAATTATAAAATACACAAGAAAATTATCCACTTCAAAAGAATAAAATCATTTTAGTGTTTACTACTTTTTTAGCATTTTTATAAAGTCTGTATATGTCCTAGAGAAGAAAATAATGTGGGCACTTATTACCATTGTTAACAGGAGTTAAATAAGCACATAGAAGATGGAATGGGAAGAAATTTGGCTGATCGGTGCACCAATGAAGTCAACGCTTCAATGCTTCAATCCCAGCAAGAAATTATTGGTAATATTTATGTCTGCAAGTTCATGTGTAATTTTTTCTTTTTTTTTCAGTGATAAAAGATTTATTATAATATCTTTTAGATATCTTATAAAATGTAAAACATTATTTACTGTTGTTAACCAAAGTATCATAATTTGGTTCTTTCTAGAAAATTTGAAGCCATTACTTCCAGCTGGTATTCAGAATAAACTGCATACACTGGTTCCTTGCAAGAAATTTGATCTTAGCTATGACCTAAATTGCCACAAGTTATGTTCAGATTTTCAAGAGGATATTGTATTTCGTTTTTCTCTGGGCTGGTCTTCTCTTGTCCATCGTTTCTTGGGCCCTACAAATGCTCAGCGGGTGCTTCTAGGATTATCAGAACCTATCTTTCAGGTATCTATCTATATATATATATATTTTTTTCTTTTTGGTAGGCTTTTAAAAAAATTTTCTATTTGAGTAGGCTTTTTTTTTTCCATTTATTTTTATTAGTTGGAGGCTAATTACTTTATAGTATTATAGTGGGTTTTGTCATACATTGACATGAATCAGCCATGGCGTTGCATGTATTCCCCATCCTGATCCCCCCTCCCACCTCCCCCTTGAGTAGGCTTTTTATTAGGTGGTTATTATTATACTGTACAGGTATGTATCTGATTCTACCCATTGAGAGTCTCTTTTTATTTCATTTGTGTGATTTTCTCTATAGAACTAGCTGTGTCAGCTTTGCTTATTTGTAGGTAATATTTATGATATAGAGCCATTTCAGAATTAGGTATACTGCTATGTTTAAGGGAAAGCCAATCCCCAAATTTTCATTCAGTACTGTTGTAGGTTACTCTGCATTCACTTTTGAACACTCTATTTTGTAAATTTTCTAATCTTAATCATTTAAAAAAACTTTTTTGAATTTATCAACTCAGTAATTTTTCAAGAAACTTATAGGGTTTTAAAACCATTGCCACAATCCTCTTTTAGAACATTTCTGTCACCCCCAAGGATATGCTTATGCCCCATTTGCAGTCAGGCTTCATTTCCACCTCCAGCCCTACTGCTAGTTAGGTTTCTCTAGCTATTATTTTTGCTCTCCCTGGACATTTCCTATCAATGGAATCATACAAAATGTGACTGGCTACTTTCACTTAGCCTAATGTTTTCAAGGTTTGTCATCATACTATATGAATGTTGTAGCATGTATCAGTATTCAGCATTTCTTTTGTATTGCTGAATAGTATTCCGCCATGGCTGTCACACATTTTATTTATCCATTCATCAATTGATGGACATTTGAGTTGCTTGTACTTTTTGGCTATTATGAATACTGGTGTTATAAATACCCATATACTGTTTTTATGTGGGCATGTGTTTTCATTTCTCTTGAGTATTTAGGAATGAAATTGCTGGGCCATATGGTAACTCCATGTTTAACTCTCTGAGGAACTGCCAAACTGTTTTCCAAAGCAGATGTACCATTTTACATTGCCACCAGCAACGTATTAACATTCTGTTTCTCCACATTCTAATCAAGGCTTTTTTTTTGGCAGATACAAAGTTGTATCTCATTGTATTGATAGTTTCGATTTGTGTTTCCCTAATGACTGATGATTTTAAACATCGTGTCATATGCTTATTCTTGTATTTCATTTTGTAACATGTCTATTCAAATTTTTTGCTCATTTTTAAATTAGGTTATTTGGCTTCTTACTGACTTTTAAGAGTCCTTTACATATATTCCAGATATAAGTCTTTATCAGATACATGATTTCAAAATATTTATGTTTTTCTAGTCTGTAACTTGCCTTTTAATTTTCTTATGGTATGTTTTAAAGTGTAAAGGTTTTAATTTTGATTTTATTATACTTTCATTATTTATTTATTTATTTATTATTTTTGGCTACATGGCTTGTGGGATCTTAGTTCCCTGACCAGAGGTTGAACCCAAGCCCTTGGTAGTGAAAGTGTTAAGTCCTAACTACTGGACCACAAGGAAATTCTCAAGGTTTTAATTTTGAAACCCAATATTTTTTTAAAAGATTATGTTTTTGGTGTGAAAAAAATTTTATATGCATATTTAATTTCTCTTGAGACTTGAGGGCCTATTGTTACAGATACACTCATTGTATATTATAAAAATCTTTCCTTTATCGTTTCAGACCATTTTTATTTTCTTCATGTACTTATGGTAAACTCATTAATTGGAGTCATTATTTTTGTAGTTTTACTGCTGCAATTTTAAAAGAGAATATAATAGAATTTTGTAAATGACTATTCCATGTATAGTTGTTTAATTGACTTAATTCTTTACCCCTCAACCTTATCAGCTCCCCAGATCTTTAGCTTCCACTCCCACTGCTCCTTCCAACCCAGCAACGCCAGATAATGCATCACAGGAAGAACTCATGGTTACCCTAATAACAACATTAGCCTCTCTCACATCTAGAACGTCTATGGGCATCATTGTTGTTGGAGGAGTGGTAAGAAACAGTACCTTTTTTTTTAGAAACAGTATTTTTTGGTGTAATTAAAATTGAAATTTTTGCAAAGCTACCTGCTAGATCAGGAAAAGAAAGGTATATTTCTGTTTCCAGGTTCAAAGTGATTGTTACACACATACACACACACACACAGATATGTAGCTTTTTTCAGATTCTTTTATAGGTTATTATATTGAGTATAGTTCTCTGTGCTATAAGTAGGTACTTGTTGGCTGCTTTTTTTTTGGCCTCACTGCGTGGTATGTGGGATCATAGTCCTGTGTCTGTGTGTGTGCACCTAGTCATGTCTGCCTCTGCAACCACATGAAGAACCACAAGGTTCCTCTATCTGTGGAATTTTCCAGGCAAAAATACTGGGATGGTTGCTATTTTCTACACCAGGGGTTCTTCCTGACCCAGGGATCAAACATGTGTCTCCTGCATTGGCAGGCAAATTCTTTTACCACTGCACACCTGGGGAGTCCCCATCATTCCTTGACCAGGGATCAAACCCATACCGCCCTGCAGTGGAAGTACAGAACCTTAACCACTTGACTGCCAGGGAAGTCTATTGTATATATAGTTTGTTTTTTTAAACTTTTTGACCTAAAAAAAATTAACCTCCCTTTTTGAGATACATTAAATCAACTTACCAAATACTTGGCAGGTTATAAAAATTCTTGCCTGCTATTTCTGTGCTGCTCCTTTTTCAGCAATTTTGTATTTTCTTATAGAGTAGGAAGATACATTTTAAAAAATGGATCTAACTCAAGGATCTTTATGGAGCCAATGCAGTTTCTAAAATGCCTTTTAATACAGTCTCCCTAGTAGTGTCTTTCTTTCTTAAAGTAAGCTGTGAATTTATCTTACAGGTTTGGAAAACTGTAGGTTGGAAACTCATATCTGTTTCATTAAGTATGTATGGAGCTTTGTATCTTTATGAAAGGCTCACTTGGACCACCCATGCCAAGGAGAGAGCCTTTAAACAGCAGTTTGTGAATTATGCAACTGAAAAACTGCAAATGATTGTTAGCTTCACAAGCGCGAACTGCAGCCATCAAGTACAACAGTAAGTTGAAAGATTCATCTGTATTTTTGTTTTAAAGCTTTACTGAAGTATGACATGCATGCAGAAATGCATGAATAAGAGTACAACTCAAAGAATTAGCACAACATGGACATATTTTATAATTGCCACCAAAATGGAAAAAATAGAATAATCAAACAGTGGGCTCAAAATAAATGCATGGTAGTTGATGTAATTTGTTTTGACTATTACAGCCCAGATTTATAGGCATGATTTTTTTAAAAATTCAAGAGAATTTTATTATAATAATAAATAGCTGGGTCTGCTGAGTGTCTTTTATGTATACACTCAAGTACCATACACTCAAATATTTATTGTTAATTTAGTAAAAATACATAGGACCCCAGTCAAATCGATGCATAATATTCTGCATTAGGGTGCTACTGACAGCTGAGTTTTCTGAGCTAAAGATAATTGCAATTTAGTAGAAAAAGCAACATGTACATAATTATAAAAAAAAAAGATGAAAAATGATAGGTAACAAGAGCTTCATAATGTGAGACTCTAGAATCTTAAAGCATAAAGGACAGTGGGTCAGTAAAGGTTTCCTGGAGGAGAGGTAGCCTGATGAGATTTGAATGTGCAGAATAGAAAGAGGGAGACAGAGAAAAGAGCCCAAACTAAAAGCAAGAAGTTGGGGAGAAAAGGAATGTGTTCAGAAACATGAGACAATTTCAGTGTGGCAGATGTGTACGTAAGAGGGGTCCATTGGAGTGTAAGCCTAACAATAGGACAGGTTTGGATAATCAGGAACCTTGGGAGTGGCATCATTAACATTGAGCTCTAGAACAGATAACTTGGCAGTGGTATAGTGTGTTAAGTGGTTTAGACTCAGGAGACAAAAACTGCCAGAAGATTTAACTGTTTCAAACACAAGATCAGAGCCTGTACTAATCTATTTAGAGCTGTAGGGAATGGAAACAACGAGGTCACAGAATTGAGACCACTGATTTAGTCCATTCATTTCCCAAATATTTATTGAGCTCCTATTTTATTTAATGGTGTTAATTTTGGTTTCTTTATATTAATGAGGATGATGTAGACCTCCAAAAGAAATCAGTCATGGTTCACATTTCATAAAAACAGAATGAAGCTTTCCATTCATCATCATCAAACATTTATTAATCACCTACCATGTGACAATAACTATAGCTAGAAGTTATGGTAAATTAAAAGTTAAAGATAACTTGTGTTCTCTCTTACATGACTTTACACTTTAACAGAGGCAACTTCAAATAATTATTCCAGTTAAAATAATACTAGCCAAATATTAATATAGTGAAATGTTAAAATAGATGCTTCATTTGTCTAATCTTGGTATTTGGTCAGAAGAGGAGAGATGGGAGAGGAAAAAGACCATGGGAAAGATGAAGATGAGCAAGAGAATAGTTGCAGAGAGAAACAAGTCAGTCAGTCAAAGTCCAGTGGTACACACCTACTAGGCATGCTCCCAATAGCAAACACACAATATTTGCCAAAGTTAACATATTAACTAGCACACAAATACACCCTTTAACTCTAGAAATGTAGTAAAATGTTGATATAAAGTATTTTTGACTAAGTCACAGAAGTTCATGAAATTTCCTTTCCTGTTTCCAGTAATTTATTCTTATAGGTAGGGGATGAGAGTAAGGCTTATTATGCTTCTGAAGAAATATACCCAACCTTTGCCTTTTTATAGCTTATTCACATTCACAACAAAATGGCAGAGTAGTTATTACCTGTTGAGCATTTGTCTTGAGGCCAGATGAAATCAAGCCTACAGTCATATTAAGCTTACAAGTACCATACACTCTACCCTCCCTCATACCATTCTTAGCAATGTTCTTTGATACCGTATGTCTTAGGGATTTTTTAATCTTGTGATCTTTTTTTAATGTTAGCTTTAGATTAAAGCTTATTCATTTTAAAAAGACATTGATGACTGCTGATAAAATTGTTTTTTATTTTAAGGGAGATGGCAACCACCTTTGCTCGCCTGTGCCAACAAGTTGATATTACACAAAAACATCTAGAAGAAGAAATTGCTAGATTATCCAAAGAAATAGATCAATTGGAGAAAATACAAAACAATTCAAAGCTCTTAAGGTATTTGAACTTTTTCTTCTCAATAATATGAACATTTACTGGTCTCATTACCAGAATACAATTATGTAAAATTGCTAGCAAATTTATGTTAAAATTTTTGGCTTTCTGCATTGGCTTAATTATAATTTTCCATATTTAATTCCATATGTTTTATAATTTCAGTGAAAATTAATTTCAACAGCAAAAAAATATGAATTAAAAGGGATTTTTTAGATCCAGACTTAGAGCCCTATGTTAAGCTATATTTGTCCTTTTTTAGAGCAGTTCTGTTATTAAAATTATGAGTTTTCCGTCCTATATATCTAAAATTCATAATTTTTCTTCTCAGTGGGGACTCTTAGGTATACTTAAATTTGAAGCAGCAGAAGTAAACAAGATATCCTAATATAAAGTGGAATTATGGTTTAATATGATTGGCCATGGATTCTTTGGACCCTAAGTAAATTCTGCTTTGGGGAGTCAAGACCAGAAGTATTAGCACAAAGTCTATACTTGTTGACAGTTCTTAATTTGCTATGCATTAGCTCACTCAACTGCAAGTCTGGGAGACTCATTAGCATCATTTCATTTCTGCTACTACTTACCAGGGCACATGCTCCATAAAGCTGCCTGTATAAAAACAGTTTGCAATATTTGCAAATTGGAGAGACTGTCCTTGTGACCTGAATTTTGGAACACAAAGATCTGTCCTTGGTATCTTAGTCTGATCAGCAGTTACATTCTCATCGCGTTTCTGTTTCAGAGTCTCTGAAAACATGACTACTTGTGACTTAGACCCCAATATCCTTACAGACAGGCAGACACACACACACACACACACACAGTCTGTCCTGCATGGTATTTCAGTCTGATCACCAGTCACATTCTCATTGAGTTTCTGTTCCAGAGTTTCTGAAAACGTGACTGCCTGTGACTTAGACCCCAGCATCCTTTCTCACACATACACACCACCCCCTACCTGAGCGAATTTTGTGTGTTCCATTGCTCCTAAGTTAGATCATCCCAAATACAGCCTTTCAAATTTGGTGAAACAGTATCCAATAGAAAAAATTTTTAACTGAGGTAGGTTTTTATTTTTTCATCTTGCTATAGTTAAAAAAAATAAATAACTGATAGATTATTGGTATTTATATATCTCAGGAGCATTTACTGAAGAAATATACAGTGGAGTTCACATGCACATTTAAATTATATGGCCTTGACAATATCCACTTAGCAACATACATAACAAGACCAAGAAGGAGAGAGAGAGACTCATTTACATGTGTGTGTGCACTGTGGCACATTATGAGAGTGGAGACACAGACCTGCTTTCCCTCTTTTTACGGGCATTTGGTTTCTTTACATACAATTTTTTTTAATATTAAAAAATAAAAATTAAAAATATATATTTTTGGCAACTATGGTCCTTTGACATCTGCCAGCTACTGTATGTATACATAAAATCATTTATTCTATGTTTTATACTTAAAGGGAATTCAGGAACAATTGTCTTAATGTGACTTAGGATATAATTTACTTGTAAGGTGGTGTGACTCCACTGTCTCTTAAGCTTTTCGTTTTTTTTTTTTAATTTTTCAATTTGTTTTTTAATTGAAGGATAATTTTGGTTTACAGAATTTTGTTGGTTTCTGTCAAGCCTCAACATGAATCAGCCATAGGTATACATATGCGTAGGCTTTTCATTCTTGTTAAAGATTTTATCTCAGTATATCTTTCCTGGCCAGTGGAGTCTGTGTTTATTACAAAGTTATAGTAGCATATATAGTAAATGCTTTTAAGAGTGGATCTGAATTCAGATAAATGTAGCAACAGCTGACTAGTGATTTTTTTTTGTCCAAGATTTGGATGGGATGCATTTTTTTTCTCATTGACCTTTATGATAATTACATTGGTGTTTATTCTTTTTTTTTTTTAATTAGAAATAAAGCTGTTCAACTTGAAAACCAGCTGGAGAATTTTACTAAGCGGTTTCTACATTCAAGCAGTGAAGAATCTTAACAATAGAGATTGCTTTGGTGATCATCGTAGGAGAAAATGGAGTTTGGAAGATCTGGATGGTTATTTTTATGAAGATTTTAAGTATGAATTATACTAACTATACCTAAATAGCAAATCCTTGAGTAGGTCTTGGTATTGATCTATCTTAGGGTGTTTGCACTTCTGAAGAGTGTTATGGTGTCTCTTTAATTTTGGGTAAAGAAAAATTCTTTGATATGTGAAAATGATGAATTAGTTTAAAGCAAAAGAAACAACTCTGTGACCCCTGAGGGGTGGGGCCTTGCTCTTAATTAGGGCTCTCTTTGTTTTTGATTCTGAAAAACTCTGCTTCCTGGCATCCAGGAGTTAGAGAATGCTCCTTTCATCTTCTTTCTCACAACTAATTTTTGATGCTGACTTTAATGGGACTAATCAGATTTTTGTTTTATAAACTGTATTGCTGTAACCACAAAGGAGTGTGGAATGTTCTTGAGTGTATTATTTATGCAGGTTACAATCACTTTTGCCATCCTGACAGGTATGTAAACCACTAATAGTTAATGCTGTTTTTACTCCCTTTTATTCCCATTGAAACTGATGTAAAGCAGTGTATAGGTTTTGTTATTAGAAAGAAAGTCCTTTATGAAAGTATTTGGGTCTAAATAGTCTGCTCATGTTTCTCAAGAAACACATTCAGCCTCAGCTGTGATTCCAGTAAGGAAAGCTTTCTGTTTTGAGAGTTAAGTTTGAAGTGATAAAAATAGCCAAAGAGATGGGAGATCTGAATTTTGGGTGGCTACAGTAAAAAATGCTGTTCTTTGGAAGGTATTTGCCAAGGATACTGCTGGGTTGTCCCCCGCGGTAACTTTTATGTTTATTTAATTGTATGAATTTGACAGGGCACGGTTAAAATTTTTATTTTTTACCTTAATGAAAATGTTTATGAGTTAAAACATTGTGTTTGTTTCTGTGTTTAAAAAAAAAAACTAATAGAAACTTATATGGAAACATTAAAAACTGGTCTAAGGCTTTGCTATGCAAAAAGTTTTGAGGAGCACTGAATCAACATCAGCAGGCGCATGTTAGGAATGCACAATCCCAGAAGACACAGCACATTTGGCTGGTAGAGTTGATGCTGCTCTTCCACAGGAGGGATAATGTTGCAGGCTTTTTTCTTCTTTTAATACTCAGTACTTTTTCTGTACGTTTAAGTCTCTTGGATGCTATTCAGTCTTTTCACAACAGGTGCAACACCTTTTCTGGTTATTTTAAGGAAAAAATAACATTATTTAGGCCATAGAAGCCTTTAATGTTTGTTTATGCAAATCAGATACTAGAATGCAATATTCAAATCCAGATATTCATTTATAGCTAATATTGTGGCTTTATAACCAAAAAATTATACAAGTCACCAAGAAGTGGGACTAAGTAACAACTGCAACAGAAAAAACTGATGTTTAAGACTGTGTACTGCTAATTAAGGTTACAAGTTGAAGGCCTTAATCTTTATACACAAGTACTTGAACTTCTGAAATAGTATAGTGGTTTGGTATTGCCCCATGAGTGCTAAGTACAGTGGTTCTCACAGTTCAGTCCCTCAATCAACAGTATCACAAGTGAAGTTGTAAGAATTACATTCTTAGGGCTCATCCCAGACCTGCTGAATCAAATACTAGGTTTGGGGACCAGCAGTTTCTGGTTTAACAAGCCCTCAAGGTGATCCTGATGCATGCCAAAATTTGGGAACTGTGGAGTAGTGGTTCTGCTATAGTAAGTTTATACTAAATTTTCCATCAGTAGCTTGAATCCAGTTCTGCCTGATCAAGTTTGAAAATACATGAATGTTGGAAGTGGGACACTAAAATAATAAAGCCCACCTTTATGCTTGGGGTAAGTGCACCTATGACCAAGCCCATGAATGATAAAGAATTGTGACTTATGGCTGATGTTCAAAGTTACTGCACATTTACTTGTCTACTATGTGTTTGCAGGATTATTTATAAACTTTGTATAACCTTCAGCTTTTTACAAACCTAGACTTTTTATAATATGCAAGGTGGAAATAAAACTTGTTTGCCTGAAAGTTGATAAATAGAACATTTATACTGGCATTTAGTGAGTTTTAATCTTTTATTTTTGATGATTTTTATGGCAAGCATATAAGCTATCTTGGGGAAACTGGCTCATTTTTACCCTAAGGGAGATTTAAGGGAAGAATGACTTAAATTTTGCTTTTTCATGAAAATGTGTGGCCTTTTAACAGTAGGCCAGCATTCACAGTACTATAGGATAGGTCATTGGACCTCCAATCTCTTCCTTGCTTCTGGCAGCCCATTCATTTTTCATGACGAGAATGCTTAGATAAAGGAGTCAGAGCTGAGCATGAACTGCTGGGCTTGGAGTTTAGTTCTGAGACTTAAAAAAGTAATCCTACTAAAAACTGATTAAAACATGCTGCATGAAATCTGGTTAAAAGCACTTTATTGATTACAATATCAGTTCACAGCAACATTATTTCACAGAGCTACTATACAAATAAAGGAATGAATTACTGCAAGAATGATTCAAGAATACTGTTAAGTCGTGATACAAGTCCATAGTTTGGTTTAAAGCTTTTTTCTAAGAGCTTTAATCTAATACATTCACCTTTCCCACAGACTACTGACATTCAGGTTCAGTTGGCCACAAGTGTTGTAGAAACCACGCTAGGTGAAGAAAAACATTTTAATCAACTTAAAAAAACCCATTTAGATATGAATGCCTTTGGATAAGAATATGCAAATACAAGTATTCAGATGCTTCTTTGAGAAGAGAAAACAATAGGATAGAGCACCATTGTGTAAGAGACAGAAAAGGCTTGAAATATATACCAAGTATATCACTGAAGTTCTATTAATTAAAAAATACTGTATGATGTAAGATTTTGTCGGGCACACTTAACATCAATTGAAACATTTAACCAGTTTTTCCATATGCTGCATTAGTCAACTATTTTATAGGCTCAATAACTGGTTTTAAGAAAAAAGACTTAGGAAATTTTATCAACATGCAAACAAATTTGCTAAACACAAGTTGTACCATCATTCTGATTAATAAATTACTTTTTAAAACAATGCTAGCTTAGACATTCCACTACAGACCATTTTATTGAGTACCTATTATAACCAATACTGTTAAATATAGCACTGAATTTAAGGCAACTTACAATGAACAATGGGAGAAGCAGCAGTAAATATGAAGGGTGCATCACACTGTATTTAATCTAATTTAAAATACCAATATTATCCACTGTGCTACCATTTCTCACAAGATAGTCTGGTGGGTGTTTTCAAAATTCTAACGAGGTAAGAAATAATTTAAAATTTTGCTTTCCACGATGGCAAAGGGAAATTAGAAACAACATAATTTCAAAATGTTTTTAAGCCTAACTCACACCCTAAAGATTTTAGAAAGAACCTGTTTATTACTAAAATCATAGGCCCATTTGGGAGATTGTTTAATCAGTTTCCGTTACATTTAAACACATCAAGAGGTAAGCTGCAAGTATTTGACTGTTAAAAACTGTAAGACACTAACCAATAAGCATAAATTTCCCTGAACATCTTCATTTTTAAAACAGAATCTAAATTTATTTCTAAATCTAAAATGTCAAAAGTGTTGAAGAAGGTTAGTTATATAATATTAACAGTATTTTTTTTAGCAACTTCAAAAATTGCATTTTGTCACCTGAAGAAGCCAAGGTTTATTTCTCTTGCAATAGGTTAACTTTAAAATTACTTAACATATTCCAGAAGCACCTACCTCTGTTATGTCTAAGAGACTAGTTTACTATCATCATGCAGTATTAATCAGTTCAGATGAGTCTAAATTAAAACAAGGAGACTGCCTACGAGGTAAGCCCTCTTGCAGAATTAAGAAGTATCTCTTGATACTTAAGTATCTCTTGAGACATTAAGCCTAAATCTTTGCCTCTCTGAAGATGGATGGAACTCAATATGCTGTTGTAACCATGGATTCACAACTATAAAAATTTGAGCTAGGGAAGAAACTTGGATGGTTAGTCTAAATCTCTAGTAGCACGGCTGCCAAAAATGAGGCCGGTCCATCGAAATGGAGGCAGTGTCCTTGCTGACAGCATGAAGCGCTTTTTTGAGAAGGTTTATGGGTTGATGTGCTGAACACAAGGCCATCACCCCACTTTTAGAAAAGAATATTTGCCTTTAAAATACTGTCATATCTCACCTGTTCTTTATGTAGTGATTCAAGAATCTACAAACCCAACTGAGGCACATTATGTTTAAATGTTTCTTAGGTAAAAAGAAAATAAATCAGGCACCAGAACTGCAATATTGATGCAAATTCCTTAAAACTACATTTGGCTTTTTTTTTAATTTGGAAAAACTAAGATTCAAGCTATACTGTGCTTCTACAAAATATACCAAATTCAGGAAGTTTTAAATAGACAATCAGATGAACTCAGACTGCAAGTACACAGATTTAGCAAGTGGGACCCATATCACTAGATAACAAGAGTTTTAACCTGTGAGTTAATTAATATGGTATCACCATTTGGTCATACGTATAATCAGCCACGATAGTGTTGCCTAGTACATGTTTAATTATGATAACTGCCTTTTAACCACCTACAAAAAGTTTAATAATATTAAATTATTTTTATTAACATGTTTAAGACAACATAATTCTTACAGTCTGTGTGCCTCTAAATTATCTTGTTACTAGAATCATTTTCAAACTAGTGGAGATACTCTTCATATATATAAGGCAATTTTGCACATGGCTACAAGTGTTTGCTTCAACAGGATTTTGGAATAAACTGCTACACTACATGGTAATCCTCAACTCCTATTTTTGCAAATGACTGTCCCTTTAAAATTATCTTGCCTTACCTCAAAGAGCTGTTCTTTATATCACTTCTTAAATAGTCCACAAACATTAAAATCAAAAGTCCGCAGAAATCCTGTTATATGTATATAAATATACATTCATGCCTGCCATCTACAGCAGTCTGGTTTTTTTTTTGGTCCTATATCTTGATCTTCCTTTTTCCATTCTATTCTCTTTTTAGTATCTTAAAACAGTTACTTCCTTATGGCTGATGTACTTATTAGCACATCCACAATATAAAAATGGAAATTTACAAGTAAAATTTGGGAGTATTTAGGATTACAGGTGATCAAAAGTTAACAGATCTAGCTCAATAGTAACTGACAAAGTTTACTAAGTTACAAAACACAATGCACCTCTATATTAGAAAAACTCCATGACTTCACTATCAAGCAAGACTTAACAGTCTTCTATTGTCAATCATTTAGATTATTTGTAAGAGAAAACCCAAGAGCAAAAGTATCTTTGTTTAAATTTAAGGGGGCTCATTCTAGTAATAAATACATTATATCATTGACAAGCAGAGAAATTGCTTAGTATTTTCCTCTGACTCCTTTAAGAACTGCCCTTGGAATTTTCTTTTGGCTTTAAAGTGGGGATCACTTTGATCTAGGTATCCTTTGAAGCAAAATCACTTAGAAACCAGTATTTGGTCCTAGTGGGAGGAAATGGTACAGAAGATCAAAAAGCTTGAATGTTTACTTTTTAAATTTTTCAAGACACAGAGCTAACATCAATTCAGGTTTTATATGAACATAAATTCATAAAGCAACCTTACATTGTGTGTTACAATGTAACAAATAGTTAGATTTGTTAGATTTTCTACTTCTTTCAAAATCATAATGCCATCACACACTATGTGTCCTTCCTAGATACATACTGATGGAAACACTGGGAAAATTTCTTAAGATGCAAAGACAGTCCAAATGTTCATCAGAGTGCACCCTGCAAACTTAGCTCTAGGAGATGAAATCAGTAGGAAAGCCTAACTAGTTAGAATGCTCAGTATCATTTGATCATATCCAACTTTAAAAAATAAGAACAATTCATGTGATTACTGCTATCTACCTGTTTATATAATACGAGTTTCCTATGTATGTCTCAAATTTCAGAGTGAGATTCCCTGGCCTTTAGATTATGTCCCCTTTAAAGGACTCAACATGAGCACTTACTTAAATTAATAACATGGCAGAGTATGAGGCAGAAACTATTGATACTCACACGGACTCCCCTCAGCGATACCTATGTCTGACGGCATTTTTTTTTAACTTTTTGTTTTGTATTGGGGTATAGCCGATTATGTTGTGATAGTTTCAGGCGAACAGCGAAGTGGACTCAGCCACACATACATGTATCCATTCTCCCCCAAACTTCCATCCAGGCTGCCACATAACACTGAGCTATAGAGTAGGTCCCTGTCGTCAGCATTCTTAAACAGTAAGCAACCAGGATCTCTTTCAGATCAAAAAGAAAGCCGGAGTTCAAGGAGATCTTTAAACATCAGTACACACATGTATGGTCTCACTTCCATGTATTACTGTGTCTGTTCCTCCACTACAGAACACAAAAATGCGATACTTCTATATAAAATTAAAAATGTAATTCTGAAAAAATGCAAACATACATTCTAACATGATAGGTTGCTGTAATGTGTATATTTCTGTCTACACAAAGAAAGTAAAGAATTAGACAATACAAGCAAGAATTCATCAAGGTTAAATGAGCTCAACTCCTCCGATTGATACACTGGTCCTGATCTCAGCAAGCACCTTTACCTTGTTTTCACCTTTTTTATTTTGTAGTTTACTGAAAGCTTCTTTTTTGTATATAATAATCTCAATAGAAAAATCTTCACCTGCAAATATAAGGTAAATTCTTTTTCACAGCTATAGGCTGTAGTACTGATTTCTCCAGGTATCAGTGGAGAATGGTAAATTTGCATGTACTGTTAATTCCAAATTCTAAGAAAACTGTCCCAAGACCCTGTTGCCACAGCCATGCCATCATCAGTTACACCTAAACAGCTGACACGGTTGTCATGACCAGCAAGAACACCTGAAAGACAAAAGTTCAGTAAAAAGTTAGCGATGGGCAAGTTTTAGGATTAAACAAGGGTATGCAGAATGATCTCAGAAGGGTACTTATGGGCAGGAATATAAAATAAAATTTCTTTGTATTACATGAATTTCTGACATACGCATCGTGTTTTTCATTTTTGAAAAATGTATAACTGCTTTCTTATATTCAAAATCATCTCTTCAAAAACATGTAGTCTTTTATGTCACTAATAAGTTCATGGTACTTCTGAATTTTGCTAATAAGCTGTTAAAACAAAAACATAAGAATACACCACCAAAAATACCAACATAATTTACTCTATTCCTTTAACCACTAACACTGGAATGTTTTGGTCATAACTCTGTGAAACCATCAAACTCATATCTAGTTTTAGTTTCTTTTGAATTATTAAGCTTATCTGATCTTCGGACCACCAGACAGGATAAAATTAAATATTCCAAACTGGGAGGAAAATGAGAGATGTAGAGATTTAAAAGAAAAATCGGACTATATCAAATTCTCAGTAAGAATCTTTAATATACTGTTTGAGTTTGCAATATCTCTCACATGTAATTCAGCATATCATTTGCACCCAATCTCGGGCACAGAAGTTAATCTTGTGTAACTCTTTAATATTCTCTGCAGTACCTTCTGTATAGCAATGTTTGAGAAAAAGGAAAATTTACCATTATGGGTTGAAATTACAAAAAATGACCATTGTGACTAAATACTCCAAATCATATTGGAAAGAAGAATGAATTAGCAATTCATGTCACAATTCAATTTTAAGGTGAAAGTAGCCAGTTGAGTCAACCTGAAACCAAACAGCTATCAGCAAAGCAAAACTAAATCTCAAGCAGATGTTAAAAAATATGAAAAACACATTTCTATTTTGTTATGGATACTGATTCAATCCAGGCAAAACACCTAATACCTCAAAAAAGGAATCAGCTAAACCATGAACTCTGCTGCCGTCTCTTAAAGAGAGGTTGTAGAAAATTGTCCCTGGTGATGCTGACACTGCCTCTACTTCAGAAACCTCAAAACTGTACAGGAATTTAAAACGGTAAGAACACAAGGACAGCAAGGATATGAGAGCAACGGCAACAAAAGTTTGTGAGCTGTATGCTGACTATTAATGGACCCCAAAATGCTGAGTTCCAAGCAAATGGTCTGATAAGCCAACAACAACAAAAATGACTGCAGAAGCTCCAAAGAGGTCAGAAACTAATGGAACCAGGTATCTCTGGAGCCACACAAAGGCCAAGATGGGGTAAACGAAGACTGCATTAGAAAACATCTGGGCGTCGATTAGACTCTCCAGGTCTCTACCTTCACTCCGCAGATGACTTATCGTCCTGCCCAGAACACAAGACCAGAGACGTGCTAGAGAGAGAGAACAAGAGGGTCTCAACTGGAAGAAAACAGGCACAGCTGAGATCGGTGCAGCTACTGAAAGCTGGGGAATAAGCAAAGTTTACTTCCTAATTGTTTTGCACCCCAGCTTTCTTCCTGAAATCAGCCCCCAAGCTGTCAGTCAACTTAGAGATTCCAGGTAGAAAAGTGGAAAAATCCACCTCAGAGAACACAGCAGGCCCAAGAGGGAAAAGGATATAAGACATGTCAGAAATTCCCCAATGAAAGCCTGGCCAGATCATTGTTCAGTGAGGCCTACTGTCAGTACACCCTAGGCATACAGAAGGCTTTCAGACAGTTTTAATGCCTTACTCTTAAGGATAAATAAGAGGCTAAAAATCATGAGTTTCAAGGAAATAGATTAATACAGGGGACTGAAAAAAATAAGGGGGAGAAAAGGCAACTTGGAAACCAAAAGATGATGCTTAAAGAAAACTTCAAGAAAGGCTTTTGTTAATGACCCTACAGAAACAAAAGACTTTTATTCATGGAAAAAAGAATGCCCTTTAAAAAAAAATCTCAAAAAGATGGTAGCAAAAATGGAAAACCAAAGCTTAACAGTTAGTTCATGGAAAGAAAAGGCAAGGATTTCTCCCAGAACATACAGGAAAAAAAAGACAAATGGAAAATAGGAGAGAAACTAAGTCAAAGGAAAGTCCAAGAAGTCCAACATCAGAATAATGGGAGTCCTACAAAGAGAATGATGATGTAGAAAAAATGTGCAACTGATGAAATGAGCCCCCTAAAACTTCCCAGTGCTAGAAGGTATACGTTTTAAGATCTAAAAGGTCCACTGAATGCTCAGAATGATAGACAGAAATGAATCTACCCCCAGATATAGCAAAACTTGCAGAAAGTTTGAAGTGTAATGAGAAGCACATCAAAAGTAAGAATGTGAGCCAAAAATTAAGAGGCTCAATAATTTGACCCTAGAGAATATTAAGAAGCTGCATCACAAAAGAAGTCATACATATATATATGTATATATATGTATGTATGTCACTGCTCAGCAGTAAGTATAGTTTTAAAAATTCATAAGTGTGTAATCAATAAACAGAATTCACTATATGGGAAAAATTGGAAGATGGAAGCTGCGGTAGGAGGAAGGATGTTAAAGCCAAACCTCAAGAGAGAATGCCTGAAAGTTAAGAGAAAAAAAAAAAACCAATACAGGTATGTTATTTAAAGATATGGAAATAAATACTTAAAAGTAGCTACCTTTCGGAGCAGAAAATATGGGCTGAGGTCAGAAGACTGCTATGTTTCAGTAATAACCTATGTGGACCTAGCTGATTCTTTGCATATAAGTTTGATTCTAAAAACATTTAAGTCACTCTGTAATTTGTTATTAATGAGAGTCCCCAATACAACTTGATGCTAGAATTTCAGAAGCTGCAGGGGAGAACTCAAAAGAGTATGAGATTAAGAGGAGATGGTAGTTCTATGCCCTTTCCTGGACAAGATCTGAACCAAAAAGAGGATGCAAAGCAGTTACAATGTTTCCTGTCAGATTATAAGCAAACTGTAATCTGAAGATCACAGTAAACTATATTCACTATTCATCTTTATGTCAAAACTTACCAAACATGAAAATATAGAGTCAGATATTACTCTTTAGAAAATAGAAACATAAATGCAGTTTATGAACTGAACTCAAAGGTTAACAACAAACATGAATGAAAACTGCCAGGTTGCCATTCCCCAGGGTGTCCAGGAGACCTCAAAAACAACTGACAGGAGACTTCATGTTTCCTGGCAAAATCAAAAACTAATGTGTACCAATTTACTGACCTGCACGATCTCCTTTGAGTGTGTCCCATACGTTACAATTGAAGTCATCATAGCCAGCTAACAGGAGACGCCCACTTTTTGAGAAAGCTACGGAAGTAATCCCACAGATGATATTGTCATGAGAATACAATAATAACTCTTGGTCTGCACGAAGGTCAAAGAGCCGGCAAGTGGCATCATCAGAGCCAGTGGCAAAGGCATATCCATTTGGGAAAAACTATAAAGAAAAGCAACAAACACTTATTCCATAGAAGTAAAAAAAAAATATGTAAGGCAGTGTAATGATGGAAGCTGGGGTAAAACAGTTCAGTTCAGTAGCTCAGTTGTGTCCGATTCTTTATGACCCCCAGGGACTGCAGCATGCCAGGCTTCCCTGTCCATCACCAACTCCCAGAGCTTGCTCAAACTCCTGTCCATTGAGTTGGTGATGTCATCCAACCATCTCATCCTCTGTCGTCCCCTTCTCCTCCTGCCTTCAATCTTTCCCAGCATCACGGTCTTTTCCAATGAGTCAGTTCTTCGCACCAGGTGGCCAAAATATTGGAATTTCAGCTTCAGTATCAGTCCTTCCAATGAATGTTCAGGACTGATTTCCTTTAGGACAGACTGGATAGATCTCCTTGTAGTCCAAAGGACTCTCAGGAGTGGGTAAGACAGATCTAGATTCAAATTTCAACTTGGCTTTGGATCAGGTGAGTGAGTTTAGGCACTGAAGATCCCTGAACACTTGGGCCTTGTGCATGTTGTGTGCTAAGTCGTTTCAGTCACGTCTGCCTCTTTGCAACCCTATGGACTGCAGTCTGCCAGGCTTCTCTGTCCATGGGATTCTCCAGACAAGAATACTGGAGCAGGTTGCCCATGTATGGCCTCCTCCGGGGGATCTTTCTCACCCAGGGATCAAACCTGCATCTCTTATGTCTCCTGCATTGGCAGGCAGGTTCTCTACCACTAGTGCCACCTTAGTTTTAGCTTTAGCAGGTTGGTTAGGGCAAAGTGAAATAACACATGCAAAGGGCCCATAACACATTGTTCAGCACAAGACAGATATTCAATAAATCCTGGCTCTGGTCCTCTGCTCTTGTTTAGTCACTAAGTCGTGTCTGACTTTTTTGCAACCCCTTGGACTGTAGCCTGCCAGGCTCCTCTGTCCATGGAATTTCCCAGGCAAATCCTTCCTTCTCCAGATCTTCCCAACCCAGGGATAAAACCCACATCTCCTGCTTTGGCAGGTGGAAACTTTACCCTTGAGTCACCAGGGAAGCCCCTAATCCTCCATATGTTTTACTAGAACATTTAAATCAAATATTACCATTTACAGTATTTAAATATGTATGTGGATTCAAAGACATGTTCCAAAAACCTCATTATGAGAAATAAATAGAAACATTTTATAAAAGAGAACATAAATCATCCAGTTAGGCTAGGTTATAAAGTGAAGCTAGCAGTAGACTAAATGATCTCATGCGCGTGCATGCAAACACACACACACAGAAAAAAAAACTATGCATTATTAGTTTGTGAATCTCATTTCTCAGATATTGTGGCACTACTCAACACTTTTTACAAAGAAGAAATCAATTTTCTTCATATATCTACTGGTCATCTGTATTGCTTTTTTAGGACCTGTTGATCTGCAGGAATAAAATGAATAAGTTTGTTTACTTTGTGGCAAATATAGCTTATCATTTTCCTTCTAATATTGTTTACTTTTTTAAAAATATAAAGCAATTTTTTGGAGGTATCACAGGCCCTGATTTGAAACTATACTACAAAGCTACAGTAATCAAAAGAGTATGTTACTGACACTAATAAAGAGATACACAGATCAATGGGACAGAATAGCCCAGAAATAAAGCCATAAAAACATAGTCAACAGCAAAGGAGGCAAGAATATACAATGAGGAAAAGACATAAATGGTGTTGGGAAAACTGGCCAGCTCCATGCAAAGGCATCAAACTGGATGACTTTCTCATACCATATATAAAAATAAACTCAAATGGATTAAATACTTAAGATGTATAAATTTGAAACCATAAATCTCCTAGAAGATAACATAGGAAGTATGTTTTTTGTTCTTTTTTTCCGCACTGTGTGGCTTGTGGGATTTTAGTTCCCAGACCAGGGATCAAACTCAGGCCCTTGGCAGTGAAAGCATGGAGTCCTAACCACTGGACTGCCAGGGAATTCCCAGGCAGTATGCTCTTTGACACAGATCTTAGCAATATTTTTTTTGGATCTGTCCCCTCAGGCAAGGAAAGCAAAAGCAAAAATAAACAGATGCAACTAAATCAAACTAGAAAAAGCTTCTGCACATGAAGGAAACTATTGAGAAAAGGAAAAGGCAGCCTTCTAGGTGAGAGAGGATGCTTACAAACAGTATATCCAGAACAAGGTTAATACTCACAACATGCGGACAATCTGCAAAACTCAGTATCAAAAAGCCAAATAACCTGCTTAAAATACAGGCAGGGTAGGACTAAAAAGCCATTTTTCCAAAGAAGACATACAAACAGCAAAGGGACACACGAAAGACATCACTAATCATCAGGGAAATGCAAAAATAAAGATATCTTAAAAATCTACAAGTATTTAAAACTATAGAAGCTACTTCTAAATAACTTCATGGATCAAAGAGATCAAAAGGAAAATTTTCACTAAACGAAAATGAATCAAAATTTGTGGAATGTAGCAAAAAGCAATGCTTAGAAAGAAACTTATAACTTTAAGTTCCAATATTAGAAAAGAGAAAAGGTTTCAAACCAATGATACCAGCTTCTGCCTTAAGAAATGAGGAAAAAAAAAAAAAGGAAATGAGAAACAGGAGAGCAAACAAAACCCATGTAAGCAGAAGAAAAGAAATAATAAAGATAAGAGTGAAAAATCAATCAGAGAACAGGCTCTTTGATGCCAAAAAATGGTTCTTTGAGAAGATAAGTTAAAAAAAAACTGATACAGTTGTGTCTGACTCTTTGTGACCCCATGGATTGTAGCCCACCAAGCTCCTCTGTCCATGGGATTTTCCAGGAAGAATACTGGAGTGAGTTGCCATTTCCTTCTCCAGGGGAATGTTCCACAGCCAGGGATCACACCTGGATCTCCTGCATTGTAGGCAGATTCTTTACCAACTAAGCTACCAGGGAAGCCCTGATAAACCTTTAACCAAATGCATTAGTTTGCTAGGCCTCCTGTAACAAAGGATCATAAACTCAATGGCTTAAACAACAGAAATTTATCATTTCATAGGTCTGGAGGGTAGAAGTCTGAAATCAAGGTGTTTGAGGCCTAAAAAGGGTCTGTTAGGACAATCTCTTTGGTTTATAGATGGGCTATCTTCCTATGTCTCTTCACACTGTTAACACTGTGTGTTTGTCTCTAAATTTCCCTTTTCTAAGAGCAAGAGTCATATTGGATTAAGGGGGACCCCAATCCAGGATGACTCAACTAATTAATTACATCAACAATAACTATTTTCAAATAAGGTCACATTCTGAGGTACTAGGGGGTTAGGACTTCAACATGTAAATTTTTAGAGATATTCAATTCAACCTACAAGACCAATCAGGAAAAAACAAACAGAGAAGTTACCAATATCATGAACGAGATACCCTATAGATTCCATAGCTATAAAAAAAAAAAAAATAAGGGAATATTATGAACAACCGTAAGCTAATACATCTGATAAAACAGGTTACAGAGCCAAATTTCTTGAAAGGCAAATTACCAAAGCTTACTCAAGTGGAAACGGATAGCTTAAGTAGGCCTAAATCTAATTAGGACATTAAATTTTTAGTTAAATTTCTTCTCACACAAGAAAACTTCCTTGGCCAGACAGAAAAGTCAACCAAACAATTAAGGATGAAATCTTATCAATTCCACACAAAGTGTTAGATTCCCAGCTCCTCCTATGAGTCTAGCATTAAGCTAATAACAAAGTGGGAACAAAATTCCTCAAGAAATGAAAAATCGTATCATAACATCAATATGGATGTAAGTCTTAAAATTACAACAAATCAAAATCCACCAGTAAATAAAAAATGATTAGGCATTATAGGCAAGTGAGGCTAAATGTAGGGTTAGGTTAATATTTGAAATTCAACTCATGTAAATTTACCATTTAGCAGACTGAAAAAGAAAAAACCACATGATCATCTCAATAGATGAAAAAGGGGCATTTGATAAACTTCAATACTCATTCTTGATAAATCTGCAGCAAACTAGAAACAGAAGAGATCATCAAGTTGATAAAGGTGGTGGGGATGTGAGATGGACAGGATTGTATGTGCCTGCTCTAAAATTCTACTCTGCAAGCCAGGTTGGCCTAATAGCAATGGAGGTCACAGAGCCTTTACTTTCTCTGATATTCTCTAAAAGGTGATGTAAAAGTGACTGTCGATATATACATGATAAATAAAATTTATCCCAAAAATATCTTCTTGCAAAAGAAGATCAGAGTACATCTTATACATATAAATAGTAGCAATTACAGTACTTTTGGAAAATCTAGTCATCTGTATACATTCTGAAATCTGATCTGCATAGTATAATTTACCTAAGTCAAGGAATATCCCACTTCCTAATGCCCCTCCCCTCAATCCTGATGGATCAACATTTTGATTGTCATTCAAAATGTCTTTTGGCTTTAATTTATACACGTATGTCTAGTTCACTTTCGTATATACGGAGTTATTATCTGGCTTAATCTATTTGTGGCTACATGTCTGAATTGTTTTTTCCTTAATATGAAGGAGCTTATAAATAATTTATACTATTTACTGAGCATCCATCTCGTTTCATTTAGTTTCCACACCACGGTAGCATTATTCCTACCAAGGAATGTGTGGCTCACAGAGGTTAAGTAGCCCACCTGATCTCACACAGCTGATTCCCAGATTACTAAGATTCAATCCAGGGTTTGGCGGATTTCAAAAGCTATGCTCTCTACAGTAAACAGTCACCTCTGTCTTTCTGACTGCTCTCTCTTGGGGTTGTTCCCCTGACTGTGGGGAAACGGGACACTGTTCTCCTCTGAACACAGCTGATACTCTGGATCCACTTTTTTTGTTCAAGATTATCTTGCCCTGTAAATCTAGAAATTAAACTTATTCCTGTTCCCCTGCAAATGAAGACTTAGGCCTATTAAAACCTTTCCATTAAAAAAAAATTAAACTTTTATTATTTTGGGATTAAATGTTGTTAAGAGCACTTTATTTATGGAATCCTTAAAGGGAATTTGTTGTTAAAATCATACTATGGAGTTCAACACTTTATATGCACAATAAACTTTCCTTAGAAATGCCGCTCACTTACACTGACGGCATTAATATCCGACACATGCCCAGTGAAGGACTGTCTGCACATTCCATCTCGAATATCCCATAATTTTGAAGAGGCATCACAAGCACCAGAAACGAAAGTCCTCATGTCAGGACTCAGAGAAAGACTCATCACATCCCCAGAATGCCCAGTGAAGGCGGTGGTCTGCTGGGCGGTTTCAATGTCCCATAAAGCACTATGGTAAAAAATAGACAGAAGTAATTAATGACTGTTCTCCCCTCTTACTTTAGTTCCTACCACCACGCTCAACCTCAAATTAGTAATCTTCTGGAATACACTTACCAAGTTGTGTCTCCTGAACTTGTAACTATTTGGCTATCATCTAAAAACCGACAGCAGGACAAGTAGCCTACAGCACAGATATAACAAATGTTAGGTTATCACTGATTAATTCAATTACCATACAAAAGAGTAATATGTATTTTAAAAATATAATACCTGGGCAACAAGTGTTTGTTAGTAAAATCTATAGTTCTACTTTTTTTTTTAGTTCTACTTTTAATAACTTCCAATTCTATGCTGCCTGCAACTTTATTTTACCAACAAACCCTCTCTTAGGTATTTACTATGTCAATGACTCTGAAAGTTACAAACTTGAGTAAAAGACACAGCCCCTTCCACCTACTACAATTACCTAGGAGAAGGATACTCCTTAACCAAATATTATCTATTATCTATAGCAGATTGGGTTAAGTACCTTGGAGAAATACTTTAAAAACCACAGTGAAAGCTTCATTAAAAAGGTGGATTAGAAAAAAAAAAAGGTGGATTCGAATGCTCAGAATTCACCAGTTGTTCAAAATATGGAAATAGCAGGAGAAATACCATTATAGAGATTTTATAAAAAGCATAGCCAAACAGTACTTCCAAGAATTCAGAGAGGCTTAAACCTGGTAAGTGGCAACAAATTCCTATGAACACTGCTAACCAAATACTATACAGATGAACTATGGTGTGTACACTAATAAAGCAATGCATTATTACACAGTGGAAAAATATTTCATAAATGTAGCTTGATACAAACTTTCAATTACCTAATGAAGCATCCAAATACTATAATTGTTATAGGTTTGCAGAGAATACAGAAAATTGTATTTGCTTTCTTTCTGTATTCATTATTGTTTGAATTTTTGCAGTAAGTAATTTCTATAAAATACTATTTTTAAAAGAAAAATAGAAGTAGAGTCATCATTTGTATAAATAAAAAGTCAATGCTTCTCAGATTCACAGTAATTTCCATTCTCACTTAAACATGAATCCTTTGGTCAGTTGAGCCCCTTTGTCCCTCTTTCTCCTTGATCTTCAGAGAAGTCAAATTTGGGAGGACAGGACAGCATGCAGCGAAGCTCACCTGTGTGACCCGGTAACTCTCGGCTCACTCTCACATTTCCCTCTCTGGTTTTTAAGTTATATATAGAGCAGATGTTGTCCAGCCCTCCACAAGCAACGTAATTACCAGAGGGAGCATAAGCGCAAGTCATCACCCAGGAAGACCTCAAAGGGATAGCATGCATCTGCAGAACAAACACAACATAAAAACTAAGATTACAAAAGTCATTGATTTTTCAACCTATTTACAGTGAAGCAGATATTACTAAAACGTAAATATATCTTAAAAATAAGCAAATAAAGGCTTATAAATAAAGAATACAATGAATGGAGAAACTGAATAAAGAAAACCACAACGCACACTAAAATGCCTGTTATATTTTCTGCATATTGCAAATCATTTGGATTTACTTCTTCTTTTCAGAAAGTATTCTTTTAGGAAGAACAAAGACACAGAATGTTTCAACACTAATAGAGCTGTTTGAAATATTAAGTATAAAATGTTAAAAAAAAAAACCTTAATATAATTCTTGGCTTTTTGCAGTAGTGTTCAAAAGAGGAATTTCCTACAACAGAACACTGAACAATACAAGAACTGGAGTTGAATAGAATGGTCCTTCCATGAAGAACTATGTTTTTCTAATAACTCGTATTCTGGGCTTGAACAAGGGTAATAGTTTGCACTGATCTATTCACACCATTGTCTGATGTCTTATTACCCAACACCAAGCATCTGCAAATCAGGTAGCACAGTTTAATGTGAATGGGAACACATCAAGGCTAAATGGCTCAGATACAGAATCAACATATTATGTGATTACTATGCTCTTACTTAACCCAAAAGAGTATTTTTCATTTTAGAAAAATATAGCTGAAAGTCATTGACTGACACCAAAAAACTAAGAAAACTATTATATTATAAAATCTATCCTAGCTAGCTTTTTAATTCTCAACCAGGCTGAAGTTACTGTTTGCTTCACAAAATAGTACTTCTATATCTTTAATGGAAACAGTGGTATAAGCGGAAAACGTTTGACTTGTGAGCATCTTCTTGGAGCTTTTCCACTACCACTCAACACCCTTACATCAGGAATTCTTTCCAGGAGACATATTAGAAGAACTCACTAGTATTTACCACCAAGGGATCTAAACAAGTTGTAATCTGCCTCCAACCTATTGAATCTTCTGAACAGCCCAGAAACACAAATCAATGCCTAGCATTCCAGCTTATCCACAACTAAAAATAAAAACTGTAAGGTCACTGTCACATTAGGAAATAGGAACTTCACAAAAATCATTTATATATAAAACTGATGCACGCTATCTTTTAATATCTGAGTATGAAATATGGGATTCAAGACACATTGAACTGTATTCCTAGAGTTGTCTTTGGGAATAAAAAAAAGGGCTAAATATTAAAAGCAAATACTAGGCCTAAAGAGAGGACCTAAGTAAAAATTAATGGAATAAATTTATCCCAGGAAGAAATTATAAGCTTGAAGTAATAGAATAAAGGAAAGAACTGGTTTATCAAACCAAATAAAAGGTTATATAAGAGGATGATTAAAAAAATTCTACCTTATTTGTTGTATAGCTATCCCAAATAATTAATTTTCCATCTTGGGAAGCACTGACTAGTAGCCTAGAGGAGCAAACACAAAAATAATGTGACACTTAGAGGAAAAAAGTAGTTTAAATTAATTATGCATTGCATTAATGTAGAACAGTTCAGAAAAGACAAATATAATTTTTCTAATAAAAAACTTGATACCAGGAAACATTCTCAACTTAAAAAATATATATTCTGCATGCCAAAAATTGTCAACATTAAAATTTTTTAGAGATTTTACTAAAAATGTCTCTAGTCATGATTCAGCTTTTTCATGGTGACAACATTCTAGGTATTAGTCACGATTTTGGTAGCTCTTAGTTGACTGGTTTAGTATGTACTGACTTAAATATAATGACAAAGGAGTACATGTAAGTCTAACAACCACGTTTCATTCAATCTAAAAATATCAATTGAGAGCCTGTGACAGAAACGCTGTGTTAAGGGCACAACATAGGCGATACCTCCTACCCTTGGGGCCTCTAGCATCTGGTGGAGATAGGATGTTAACTAAAATAAATGAGGTAAGTGAAAATAGTCAGAGGAGTAGTATAAAATAAAGGCCATAGGAAAACAAATTAGGGACACATTACTAAGTTACTCAAGAAGTCTGGTGAAAGAAAACACATCTTGAAAAAACAGAATTTTGAAAGCTGGAGAAATCTGTATTCTATAAAGAGGGCAAGTTCCATGGCAAGAGGTGGAAAAATACAATGGGTGTTTCAAGATCTGTGAATTTCCCAGTTACACAGACTTCATAAGAAATGGAAAAAACAGTTGGGAAAACAGACTGGGCTGAAACAGCAGAAGGCTCTGTCTGCCAGGCTAACTAGGAACTCTTGACTGAAGTTACAGGCCACTGAATTTTTTGTTTTCTTTTGGAATTTTATTTTTCACTACGGTATAAAATTCAAAAGATACAAAAGGACAGATACACAGTGAAAAGAATCACCTCTGTGTTCCTATCACTCAGCCACCCATTTCCCTTCACTACAGGTAAATACCGTTATCAGGTTCTTATGTAGTAAGCACTGTAAGTTTCATGAAAGGGCAGATACAACCACAGGGTATGGGATGGAACTAAAGCTTTTTTAAAAACAGCTGGTATCATCAGCACTGAGTTGAGAAAAAAGTTAAGTAACAGGTTGATGATCAGAACGAGCAGAAAGACAGGTGAGACAGGCGCTTTGCTGACACTTCGTGTTCTGTGAAGATTAATAGTCTTGAGGAAATTTTAAGTAAGAACCATTAACATTTTCAAGTGATTGTATTTTTTGAGTTATGTATTTGCTATCTCAATGATCAGATTACTGCTTATGTTAAATTTAAGAAAAAATTTGGCCTAGAAAAAAAAACATTTGGCCTAGCTTTACGTTGGTTGTCAGTTATATACTTTCATTTATCCCCTCCGAAGAGGCCCAAGTTCTATTTTACTGTATGCAAGAATCCTATTTACACTGAGATGTGGGAACCATTGGCAACAGGTAGCAACATTTTTGGATTCTCCTGGAAGAAGAGAAAAAAATGTGCAACATCTATTAGAAATTAATTGGTTGGGCTTCCCCGGTGGCTCAGTGGTAAAGAATCCACCTGTCAGTGCAGGAGACATGGGTTCAATCCCTGCTCAGGGAACATTCCACAGGCCACAGAGCAACTAAGCCCGTGCACAACTACCGAGCTTGTGCTCCAGAGCCTGAGAGCTGCAACTACTGAAGCCTCCATGCCCCAGCGCCTGTGCTCTGCAAGGAGAAGCCCCCTCAAGGAGGAGCCCACACACTGCAATGAAGAGAAGCCCCCGCTCACCACAACTGGAGAAAAGCCCATGCAGCAAGAAAGCCCAGCACAGCCAATGATCATAATAAATAAAGAAATTTTTTAAAATTAATTTTTAAAATTTCTACTTATTTGGCTACGCCAGGTCTTAGCTGTGGCACAGGGCATCTTTGATCTTTGTTGCGGCACGCAAGCTCTTTAGTTGTGGCATGCAAACTCTTAGTTGCAGCATGTGGGATCTACTTCCCTAATCAGGGAGCGAACCTGGGCCCTCTGCATTGGGAGTGCAGAGTCTTAGCCACTGGACCACCAGGAAAGTCCCCCCAAATAATTTCTTAGTTAAGAAATTTTCCCAATTAGAGGGACCAAATCAAAGGAACAAGTCAACCATTACAGAAGCAGGGTCAGACACTGTGCAGTACTGTCAGATTCTCCGGAAAAAGCACAGACCATACTGTAACCCTGTGAATAAGTCATGACCAACCATTCAACTGCAATCCAGACGGCGGCTGTGTGTGTACGTGCATACACTCACTACACACACACTTGTAGGGTGTGGCTGGGGAATAAAAGAAGTATTCAATGAAAATGTCTTTTTGTAATTCTATTCTTCATGAATTTAGGTAGTAATGAATAAATTATAGCAATATCTGGTAACTTGTACACAGCAATATTCAACAAATATTTCCTCATTACCTGAAATTTCAATGTTTATTATGCAATAAAGCTACCCTGACATGTTAAAAAACAAAGTATAATACCTCACTGCAAAGAAAAGAAATCCTAAACACTTTTCCTAAATCATTTGATAAAGGGTATTTCTGAGAGGTAAATTTCTTTTCCATATTAAAGGTTTCTAAACTTTTAAAGTGTCAATGAATATTTTTATTAAAAGCAAAGCAGTCATATTAGATGCATTTTTTCAAACACTTCATAGAAATAGGTTGTTTCTAATGGAAAATGCAAGTGATGAGTCAACAAAACAATTTTGCAGGCAGTTTGAAAATGGCAGGTACAAACCTTGAATCGTATCCCCAGTGCATAGCATAGATTTTAGCTAGGTGACCCCTCAGCGTACGTCTCGTTCGCATTTGTATTCGACCCACGGAATCCATATTTGATGTGATCTTTAGGAAGTGATGAGAATGTTATTCTTTAGCTTAGACACAGCTCAAAAAATAAAGCAGAAACAATTAATTGGCAATAAAGTAGACATAAAATAAATGGACAGTTACTGAAGATATTTTAATATAAATAATTCCTATGATGCTCAAGAAAAAGTACGATTTATTTGCACACCTTCCAATAAGAACATCTTCTATAGACTAATAAGTAAAAAAATAGACATACCTTCCAACCTTAGTAAAAAAACAGCCACAAATAAAAAGTTAATAGATGATCAAATAGTAAAATATTGATAATTTTAATTATTTAAAGAAAGCCAATTTTTTATTTAGATAGCACATAAAATATCCTTAATAAAAATGAGCAATTTTAATTAATGAAACTTTCCTAATAGTTTATATAAAGAAAAAACTTAATCAGGGCATATCAAAAAGAAGCAGAAGCTACCTAAAAAGAAACATATATAATCTACATATTTTTATAGTATTTACTTTTTCACGGACTTTCATTTTCACAAGTATGTTTTAAAAGGCTCTTAAACAGCATCTGACAAATTACAAAGCCTTTTTTAATAGAGATCTCATTTTGCTTCCAATTAAATACTAATAAATAGAAACTGTCATTTGCATCATTGTCAAGCTATTTCATGCAAATCAGTAAAAGAAACTGAGGAAGAAAACTTTACCTGAACAAGTGTTGCATCATTACATGCTTTCCTAGCATCCTGAAATAAAGATGATTGTGCATTTAGACATGGAAACCCCTAGATATGATTTAAAATAAGGTTTACATTGGAAATGTAGATTTGAAATATGCTCCTTAGTGTAGTACCCAATCTTTATTTTTAAAAGGTTTATTGAGAAAATTCACATAATATAAAAATAACCACTTTAATCATTTTAATGTGTGCAGCTGGACTGGTTAGCATCTTGACAATGTTGGGCAACCATCACCACTACCTAAATACAGAACATTTCCATCACGCCCGAAAAAAGAAACCCTATACCTTCCAATTTCCTCTTCCCCCACCGCCAGGTGATCACTAATTTACTCTCTAATGGATTTGCCCATTCAGGTCATCGCACACAAATGGAGTCATACAATATATGACTTTCATGTGTCTAGCTTCCTTCATTTAAATGTAATGTTCTGAAGGTTCATTCATGTCATACCACATGTCTGTATTTCACTCCTTTCTATGGCTGAGTAATATTTCATTGTATGAATATATTAATTTTGTTTATCCATTAATTTACTGGATGGACATTTATGCTGTTTCTATTTTGTGGTTTTATGATTAATGATGCTGTGATTATTCATATACAGGTTTTTGTGTGTGATGTGTATGCCCAATTCTCCTGGGCATACAACTAAAAGTAGACTTGGTGGGTGATATGGCAATTATGTTTACATCTCATCTGTTTATTTTTGGTTTTATTTCTATTGCCTTAGGAGACTGACCTAAGAAAACATTGGTATGATGTATGTCAGAGAACATTTTGCCCATGCTCTCTTGCAGGAGTATTATGGTATCATGTATTATATTTAAGTCAGAGAAAATGACTTTAAAATAAAGACTGTTACAAGAGACAAAGAAAGACACTACATAATGATCAGGGGATCAATCCAAGAAGAAGATACAATAATTGTAAATATAAATGCAACCAACATAGGAAAACTTTAACAAATAAGCCAAATATGCTAACAGTCATAAAAGGAAAAGTTGACAGTAACACAATAATCATTGGGAACTTTAACACCTCAATTACAGCAATGGACAGGTCATCCAGACAGAGAATCAATAAGGAAAAAGAGGCCTTAAATGACACATTAGATCAAATGGACTGAACTGATATTTATGGACCACTTACATTCCCACCAACAGTGTAGAAGGGTTCCCTTTTCTCCATAACTTCTATAGCATTTGTTGTTTTTGATGATGGCCATTCTGACTGTTATGAGATAATACCTCACTGTAGTTGTGATTTGCATTTCTCTAATAATTAGCAATGTCGACCATCTTATCATGTGCCTTTTAGCCATCTCTCTGTCTTCTTTGGAGAAATCTCTATTTAGATCTTTCCCCATTTGCACAGGTTGTTTATTTCTTTGATATTGAGCTACAAGAGCACTTTATATAATTTGTAGATTAATCCCATGTTGATTGCTTCATATGTAAATATTTTCTCCCATGTAGTGGGTTGTCTTTGGTTTTGTTTATGGCTTCTTTTGCTGTACACAACTTTTAAATTTAATTAGGTCCCACTTGTGTTAGAGAATGTTCTAATTTCATTCTTTTCCATTGAGCTGTTCAAGTCTTCCCAGCACCACTTATTGAAGAGACTGTCATTTCTCCACTGTATATTCTTGCCTCATTTGTTGTACAATAATTTTTAGAGAAATGCAAATCAAAACTAAAATGAGATACCACCTCACACGAGTTAAGAAAGACCATCATCCAAAAGTCCACAATCAATGAACGCTGACGTGGTTGTGGAGAAAAGGGAACCCTCCTACACTGTTGGTGAGAATATAAATTGGTACAGCCACCACAGAAAACAGTATGGAGGTTCCTTAAAAAACTAAAAATAGAACTAGCAAATAATCCAGCATTCCACGCCTGGACATATATCCAGAGAAAATTGTAATTCAAAAAGATACATGCACAGACTTCCCTGGTGGTTCAGCGGTTAAGAATTCACCCACTGCTGCAGGGGACATGGGTTCAGTCCCTTCTCTGGGAAGATTCTACATGCCAAGAGGTAACTAAGGCCGTGTGCCACAATGACTGAGCCTGCATGCAGCAACTACTGAAGCTCATGCACCCTATTGAGAGCTCATCCTTCAGTTCAGTTCAGTCACTCAGTCATGTCCGACTCTCTGTGACCCCACGGACTTAGGCACACCAAGCTTCCCAGTCCATCGTCAGCTCCCAGAGCTTATTCAAACTCATGGCCATCGAGTCAGTGATGTCATCCAACCGTCTCATCCTCTGTCGTCCCCTTCTCCTCACGCCTTCAATCTTTCCCAGCATCAGGTTCTTTTCAAATGAGTCAGTCAGTTCTTCACATCAGGTGGTCAAAGTATTGGAGTTTCAGCTTCAGCATCAGTTCTTCCAAAGAATATTCAGGACTGATTTCCTTTACAATTGACTGGTTTGATCTCCCTGCAGTCCAAGGGACTCTCAAGAGTCTTCTCCAACACCACGGTTCAAAAGAATCAATTCTTCAGTGCTCAGCTTTATAGTTCAACTCGCACACCTATACACGACTACTGGAAAACCATAGCTTTGACTAGACAGACCTTTCTCGGCAAAGTAATGTCTCTGCTTTTTAACACGCTGTCTACGTTGGTCATAGCTTTCCTTTCAAGGAGCAAGAGTCTTGTAATTTCATGGCTGCAGACACCATCTGCAGTGATTTTGGAGCCCCCCAAAATAAAGTCTCTCATTGTTTCCATTGTTTAGCCATCCATTTGCCATGAAGTTATGGGACCAGATGCCATGATCTTAGTTTTCTGAATGGTGAATTTTAAGCCAACTTTTTCTCTCTCCTCTTTCACTTTCATCAAGAGGCTCTTTAGTTCTTCTTCACTTTCTGCCCTAAGGGTGGTGTCATCTGCATAGCTGAGGTTATTGATATTTCTCCGAGCAATCTTGCTTCCAGCATGTGCTTCATCCAGCCCAGCATTTCACACGATGTACTCTGCATATAAGTTAAATAAGCAGGGTGACAATATACAGCCCTGACATACTCCTTTCCCAATTTGGAACCAGTCTGTTGTTCCATGTCTAGTTCTATATACAGATTATTCAGGAGGCAGGTCAGGTGGTCTGATATTCCCATCTCTTGAAGAACTTTCCACAGTTTGTTGTGATCCACACAATTAAGAATTTGGCATAGTCAATAAAGCAGAAATAGATGTTTTTCTGGAACTCTCTTGTTTCTTTGATGATCCAACAGATGTTGGTAATTTGATCTCTGGTTCTTCCGCCTTTTCTAATTCCAGCTTGAACATCTGGAAGTTCACCATTCATGTACTGTTGAAGCCTAGCTTGGAGAATTTTGAGCATTACTAGCATGTGAGATGAGTGCAGTTGTATAGTAGTTTGAACATTCTTTGGCACTGCCTTTCTTTGGGATTGGGATGAAAACTCAGCAGTGGCCACAGGACTGGAAAAGGTCAGATTTCATTTGAATCCCAAAGCTCATCTTTAGGTACTTGATAAGTAGTCTGGGGCCCTTGAGGAGGAAAAGGTCCAGGACCCTTGAGAAGGAGAAAGGGGTCTGAGGTTCAAGGAGGAGAAAAGGACTTTTTTTCTACATTGCTTTGTATTAGTCAATATAACAATGTTATCTTGCTTAAGGACATGTTTCTCCTTAACAAGAACCTTCTGACTAATCTTGTTAAGATGCACGTTGGGGGAGTGGGTCTTTCTATTGTTAGTTCTAATCCTGTTATCTTATACTGTGGGAGTGGGTCTGGTAAAACCCTTTATTGTAACAAGGTATAAAGCTCCCTTGTAAAGACTAAGCGAAACAGGGCACTCTGTCCCCTTTCTGATGTCTATGTCAGAAGTTTTCCCTGTCCCCTTTTATACTTTAATAAAACTCTGCTACACAAAAGTTCTTGAGTGATCAAGCCTGGTCCCTGGTCCTGAAGTTAAATCTTCTTCGGAGATCACAAATCCAACATCGTCCACCGTAAGCTATCAATACGCTCCACAACAAGAGAAGCCACCACAATGAGAAGCCCATGCACTGCAACTAGATAGTAGCCCCTGCTCGCCACAACTAGAGAAAAAGCCTGCACACTGCAACAAAGACCCAGTGCAGCCAAAAGTAAATACATAAAAAAATTTTTTAAAGATACAGGCATGTCAATGTTCACTGCAGCACCATTTACAATAGCCAACACATGGAGGCAACCTAGATGTCCATCAATAGATAAATGGATAAAGAAGGGATGGTACATAGATATACAGTGGAGTATTATTCATCCATAACAAACACTGAAATGAGGCCATTTGCAATAACAACAATGGACCTAGAGATTAGAGATTATCATACTAAGTGAAGTAAATCAGACAGAGAAAGACAAATATTGTATGATATCACTGATAGTGGAATCTAAAAAGATGATTACAGGGAATCCCCTGGTAGTCCAGTTGTTAGGACTCTGACTACCCACTGCAGGGGACATAGGTTCAATCCCTGGTCAGGGAATTAAGATCCTGCATGCCACACAGCTTGGACAAAAAAAAAAAAAAAAAAAGATCACAGATGAGCCTATTTACTAAACAGAAAAAGATTCACAGACTTAAAAAAAAAATGTATGCTCCCAATCAAGAAAGATGACAGGAGAGGGATAAATTAAGAGTTTGGGATTAATACACACACACTACTATATATAAAATAGATCTTCAACAAGTACCTACTGCATAGCACCCAAATCTCTACTCATTATTCTGTAATAACCTATAGGGGAAAAGAATTTTAAAATGACTGGGTATGTTAGGTAGGAAGTTAGGCATGACCAATGACGGGTGGGCTAGGTGAAAAGGATGCAAGCTGATCTTTAAACCCCATCCCAGACATGCCCAGGGGAGCTCACAGATATACTACAAAAATAACCACAGAGACTTTTCCAACTTCTCACAGGAGCCTCAGGCACACAGTGAATATAAACTAACCACAGGGGCTTACTCAAGTGACCTTAGGCAGC